TTAATAGATAATATAACCATTAAATAAAATAATAAAGGAAAAAGAAGAAAGAGAAAGAATAAGAGAATAAATAGGAGAAAGGATACTTTAATTAAGAAAGCCTATAAATTAGGGGAATTCAATAGTATTAATATTATTCTAATTATTTATAAATATAATTAATATACTATATATAAATCTAGGAACTATATATTATAGCTACTATCTATGGCAGAGATTATAAGTAAAGCGATTTTTTGCTTGAAATATATAACTAGTATTAATATAGATCAAGAAAACTACCTATTCTCTCCTAAAGAATATATTACCGGAAGATATCGAGAAGCGACTTTCTAAATATATTAGAGAAAGAAAATTACCTCGGAAGAATAAGGGAAATAGAAGAATAATAAATAGTAAGTAGGATTACCTATAAATACGGGAAGATTATTATAAAGGCAAAGTTCTTGACTCTATAACTTAACCTAACCGTTCTATAATAGAGATAATAGGGTATTAACTTGGAGACGGCAGCTTTTAAGAACATCTATAGTAGATATACTTAAAATAGGTCATATTCCGGATAGGAAAAGCGGCTAAGCAGATATAATACGGATTATTTACTTATAAAGGTTTTTAAGAGAGCAGGAGCTTGAGATAGTTATACAGAGAAGAAGCTAGGACTATATTATTAATATATCTAGCCAGAGTAAGGCTGAGAATCACAATTTTATTATTAAGCCCTAATACAAATTCCTTTAGTTATAAGGGGTCTCTTGAATTATTCGCTAGTTAAACTCTGTCCTATATAAATAAGATATAAATAATTTTCTTTTAAGTAGTTTATAACTGAAATATAAGCTCATTTAAGTTCTGTAAGTAACTTAATCGGAGTTCAGTAATCGTAGAAATATCTTTAATATTAATAGTATAATATCCCTTATATAATATAATTATATTCTTTACCTAAGTAATTAATAAATAACCTAAAGATACCCGGAGAAAATCTAAGATTAGAGATAGCTTATTAAGCTATAAATATAGTAATAGTATTATTAATGTAATTAATTAGCTATAGGGGAGCTCCTTATATCTAATTATAATTAGAGATATATTATTTAGAGTTAATATATAACCTATAGTATTTTCAGTAAGTACGGTTTTGCCTAAAGATACCCTCGTCTCTATATTACTATTACTAGTATAAGATAGCTCCGGGGATATTCTCGGCGGAATTAAAGGTATCTTAGTATATAGTAAGATACTCGGATCTCTCTCTTAGATAAGAGGGGGTTATAGCCGAACTATAGACATTAAAGCTTAGGTTAACAGATTCCTAGAAAGGAATAATAAAGACTAGTATATAAGTAGTAGTATAATACTCTTATTTAGAAAGCAATATTACTTCTTTTTTAATTTCGAAGCCCTTTGGACCTTATTATTTAGGATTGCTTTTAACCGGGTTATAATATAACTAAGCTTCCCGTAATACTTTATTAGAATGTCTAACTAGTCTGGTAGGGTCCATTTATTATAGAGCCTGCTATATATTTAAGGTATATAGAAGCCGCCGTAAAGGAAGAAGAAGAGATTATATAGATAGTAAGTATTCTTGCTAGAGCAAATGAATCTCGGTTACTAATAGCGGAAATAAAGCTTATAAAAGAAGAGAAGCTATATCTTAGTATAAATCTTCTAGGGTAATTCCTAGAAAGAGGCAGGTATCTGGATCTAGAAGGGTTTTACCTAAATATTCTGAAATATATGGTATGTCCTGTTCCTTATAGTATAAATAAGCTTGAAGGTAGTAGAGTAATAGCCGCCTAGCTTACTAATAGCTTCTGGCAGGTACTGCTTTAAGGTTAGTTCTAGTATCGAGCTCTAAAGAGCTATACTAAGAGTAGCTAGGGGGAATTCGTAGGCCTGCTTAATAATCTCTCTAATTGCCTCATATATTTCGCCTCTCTCCGTATAGAGGTCTAATATGCCTTCTAGCTTAGTAAATAGGATATATGAAGCTCGTACTTTATCTCTGCTAGCCTTTAAACTACTTTTTATTAACCCTGATCTGGCCTTAACAGACTTGTTATTAATTACCTTATATAGTTAAGTAATAAGGGCTAGTTTTCTAGTAGTCTTCCAGGTCTCTCTATACCGTAATTATAGTCGTAACAGGATCCGATATAGGTCTAGGATAATAACTTATTAAAGAAGAGCCTCGGTATTCTCGGCTTTCGAATTCTCTAAAAGATAAATTAGTTATATTTCGGAACTCGGTCGGGGTATTAATCTCGCTATATAGCTTGCTCCAAGATTCTCATAAGCGTTATAAACTCTTATATAATTATAGAGAGATCCCCGGTATTTAATATTATCCGAATTATAATTCCTTCTCTATTATAGTATTCTTTAATACAGATAGTCATAATCTTTAGGCTTTTATCCGAAGTAGCTAATAGAAATGCCAGGTTACTTATAATCTCCTTCTCTCGCAAGATACTCAGATAGCGCATTTGGTCTACCTCAGGGATAGTAAGGTTCTTGCTTGGTACCTCAGGGAGCTTATCTAGCTTTCGGAGATAGCTAATTATTTACTATAATTATAGGCGGGTAATTGCATCTCCCTATATTATTGCTTCCATAATCCTCTCTTCTTAGTAACCTGCCTTATTAGCTATGCCAGGACATGGTCAGGTCATAGTAGGTATAGTACGGGCGGTTACGAAAAGGTAAGGCAGTTAGAGAAAGATACGAGAAGGGTTAAGGTAGTTGTAAAGTATTATTGAGAAAAGGGGAATAGAGCTATAGGCAGGTAATATATAGTAAAGGTATACTAGGTACTACTTGAATCTCAGTAAACTATATTAAAGATAATATTAAGGCTCGGAAGGCTATAATATTACCTAATAGATATATTATAAGCTTTTATATTAGATGTTTATTCCCGACTCTAATTATCTCGGAGATTCCTTTAAATTTAGCAGAAAAGATACTAGTCTGGAAATAACGAGTTTTAGCTTAGTTATCCAGATATTACTGGAATTAATAGCTAATTAAGGTATTTGTAATCGAGCTTGAGAGAATTTACGCTTACCTAATTATTTACTAGATATTCTCGCCTTTCATATTTATAGTCAGAATATAGGCCTTATAGTCCGAAATTAGGGGAGCAAAATTTTCCTTTAAGTTATTCGAACTATCTCTAACCACGAATGCAGTTATAGTAACGAGAGGGCGACTCAAGCCGTTATTTCCCCGGCCCGCTATCGTAATAAGCCAGGAGAGGGTAGCGGAAGCGCTCGTCTAGCTACTTATACGTTTGAATATTGGTATACTACAGGAAGTATAGCCAGTAGTATTAAAAGTACAATTACAGTCCATTGAGGTTCGAGATACGGTATAGTAGTCTGGTATTAACCATAGTTCTAATTGAGATTGTCTTTAAATACCGAGACTCTTATAACTCTATAAAGTTCTCGAGGTCAGCTAACTAAATAGCAACTAAATTAACTATTCTATTTTAGAGTTCTTGACCCAAATAAGACAGAGTCTCGGTTCTATTATTCGGATATATAATACTATCCTATCTGCCTTCTCTCCGGTCTTTTTTGGCTCTGAACTAACCACAAGACAATTTCCGGTAGCCGTCTACAGTACCGCAATACTAATCAATTTCTTTAGCTTCCCTAGCGAGATCCGGAATAAGATCTATAAAGAGGCCCTTATACTTTCGGAACTTATTGTATTATATACTATATAGTCCTATAGTATAATCTATAGGCTTATACTACCCAGGAATTCCCGGATCTATAGACTATTACGCCTCTGTCTGGTGATTCTCCTTACTAATAGAAGGGCGTACCGCAAAGCCAGTATACTATTCTACTTTAGAAATCGATTCAGACTAGATAAAGGTTTTCTTACCTTATTTCTCGACCAGATCAGACCTCAGAACGCTAGCTTTCTTTGTTATATCTATATTGCCTTCCCGGCCTTTAATAATTACTACTACCTCAAAAGCATTACGCTCAAAAAAGATAGTATATATACCCTAGAATATATCTATAATAACTGTATGAATCTTGCTATACTCGAGATATTACTATGTTTCCGGACAATTAATATAATAGAGTCTGCTATTAATATACCCGATAGTTCTCGGGCTACTGTACTAGCACTAGTAGATGCATACTTCAAGGCTATCTCGTTACTAAAAGAGATTATTATTAATGTATATAATAAACCCATTAGTTATAATCTAAAGAAGGAAATATACGGCTGTGGATGAATAATTAAGGGCATATGGGAAGAGTCAGAGAATATTAGATCTTCTAATAGGAACGATGACGACTGGCGGAATGACGATGACTAGTAGACCTGGTCTGTAAGTTATCTATACTAGTAGAAGTTAGGCTTAATATATTGCTAGCTATCTTAACTAGATATTCTACTAGTGGCAGGCAGTAGTAAAGATAATAGAGATGACTTTAATCTATAGCAGATACCCTATTTGCTATCCTATACTATTACCTTACCCGAAGCTATAACCCTAGTATCTATTAAAGATCTATCTCCCCTTCGAATATACAAGCTTCTAACTATCTGCGGATCTCTATTAGCTCTTAATTTCGTTTACAGAATCGGAATTATCCTTTTATAGTTAGCTCTACTCTAAAAAATAGCAAGATTTAATTATCTTTAGTCTATAACTATAGATATTAGCTATAATATTATATTATCTAGTAAGATATTATTCTTATTTCCTATAATTAAATACTAACCGAAATTGAGAAAATAAACTTAAAGGCAAAATACTATGGCTTTAATATAATATATTAAGAGGAGATAAAAACGTATACGAGTTGTGGAAATATTCTTTATTAGCTAATCGGAGAATGCTACGAAGGGAGCTCGAGAACCATTATATTAAATAGCCCATAATACTTTAGGAAAAGTATTCTAAGTTACTTTGAAGTATAGAGAAGCCGTAATCTTAATAGTACTTGGCAAAAGGCATAATAGATAATTTTCGGAGAAGGAAAATTACCTTTATAGAAAAGGCAGACGAGCTAAGAAGCGAGTTCGGCTATAATATTTACGTTTTGGGGCAGAGGAACGGAAAACTCTTTAATTATATATCTAGAAATAGATCTAGAGATAGACCTTCCTGGCTACTTAGCTTAATAGAAGTCGTGAGTAGTATTCTTTTAATCTAAGGTCTATAATCTAAAAATAAATAAGAATCAGAGTTATCCTAGGCCAGAGAGATATATACTAGCTAGCTTCTTAAAACGAGATACTAAATCTCTGCTCTATAAAAGCCGGAAGAGACGAGATAATCCCATAGTAAGAATTAAGAACTTTTAGACTAGAGATATAACGGGTACTAGGGGATAGATTAGTTAGATTGAGTGCTATAAATATAGGAGTAATAGAAAGTTAATTAGAATTATAATAAGTAATAGGTTACTAATAATAACTAGTAACCTATATATTACTTTAAATACAGATATTATCTGCCTTAAGTATAACTTGGTAGAGAACATATACTTGCTACTACCGAGAGCCATATATTAGTATATCCTGGGGAAATATTCATATCCTGTAATAATCTATACTATATAGTAGATTTAACCGTATAGTACTCATTTCTCGGTATAGTAATAACTTAACCATGAGAACGGTTTTAGTAAACCCGAGAAGGTTTAATAAGGGACTTATTTTGCTATATATTATAAAAGGCAAAGAGAGGCCTATAGCCAAAATCGTTCCGAAGCTCTTATATAATAATCTCCTACTTTTAACTACCTCTAGTATTAGAACTGCTCTAATTCTAATACCCTGGTTCGAGCTTTTTTTTAGCTTCTTATTTAATTAGATTTTGCTCTACTATAGCGGTCTATACCTTCTGGGCTCTACTTTTCGCCTTACTAAGGCATAAAACGGCTATATGCTTCTTTTTGCCCTTTGTGATATATAATAAAAACTTGGCTCTATCTAATAATATTCTTCTATATTATATATTATAAGGCAGCTTTACTCGAGGTTATACTAGCCCAAGTATTCGGGCAGCTTTGTAATATATAATAAAATATATCTCTTATATTAGAGTATTATTAATTATATGTATTATGGCTATATATAGGTAGAATTTCCGAGTCTAGCTCTGGATTAAATAAAACCTATACTACTATAGGGAACTAAAGAAAAACATTCTCCCGAAATAGAAGTTTCCTCCGCCTATTCTATGCCTTTGTGGTTTCTCTCTTCTTTATTCTACCTTTACCCTTTTAAAGTTTGTAGCCAGGGGATTATCTCCTGTAAGTCCAAGATATTTAATATACTCTAGTCTATAAGGGACCAGACCCTTAATAGCTGGCTTCTATCTTTTATTAATAGCCCCAAGCTATATTATTAAAACCTCCTTACTAATATTACTAGAGCTTTAATATTCTCTATATTATTAAAAGAGCTATTCTTAAATGGTACTATAAATAATATAATGAATTCTTTATCCGGACTCAAATCAAGGCATTTGATTTTAGATAAAATCTAACGGTTTTTTAAAAGATTATCTATTTATATTCTTCCAAAATAATATTTTCTGTTATTAGTATACGGCTGTACTTTTCGACAAGATTCGCAATTTATTATGTCTTACTTCCCACCCTTATACCGGTAATTAGTATCCCTAGAGCTTGGCGATTGCTATTAGAGTATAAAGAAGTAAATAGATATATAGTAATAATAGATATTACAGCCCGATCTCGAGCTTTAACAGACGCTTTATCTAAGAGATTAAGGTATGTCCTCTCCCCTTTAATGTTTTCTCTTCTTATAATATCTATTAAGGATATAATCCCGCAGCCGCCTATATAACTGCCCTCTCGAGCAATTCCGCAATCTCTATAAGGCTATCCAAAGAATAGCAAGCGGTACTATAAGCAGAGACCTCAATTAATATTAATAATGGCAATAGCATGAGTAATACAGGCTATAAAACAGATAGTATTAGTACGGTATTATTATTATTAATATCAAGTATTAGGGACTATATATTCGAGAATAGTCATTAATACTACCGGTTTTATAAAGGGAGCTACAATTTTCCGAATAATAACTCAGAGCAAGATAGGGAGAATCTGGTATATACTCTAATAGCAAGCTTCTGCTACTAACTCTACTTTATACCTATAAAGGCAAATCCATAAAATATTCTTAATATAGATACAGGCACTGGAATATGAGCTATTAATAGTGAGTTAATTAGTGAACTTGGACGGGACCCAGGCTGACTTCTCTATAGTAGGATATTAATACTCTAGTACTAATATTTTAGGTATTAATTTGAGTCCTATCCAGCCAGTCTGGGTTCTACTAAACGTCAGGTTTATAGTTAATAATATTAAAAGTCTATAATTATACCCAAAAAGCTACTTTAATTATATATACTCTCGATATATAGTTATGGCTATTCGGGACTAGCCCAGACTAATATGGCAAGCGTTAGAGTGAGTCTGGCATACTATAGTAAGGACTAGTATTTTCTAATATTAATAGATATCTCAAGCCGGGAGGATAGATAGAGACATAAGAAATCTACTACCGTTCCTATTACTATAATTAAAGCATACTACTGGGTTATCCAGTTATATATTACTAGGACCTCGTTAGCGAAGAACTCGCTAGCTTGGGTATTAACTCCAATGCCATATTACTACTAGCTAATATATATGTAATACAGGATTCATTAATATAATAACCTAAATCTTTCACGTATTAATAGGCAGGTGGCCAAAGAACAAGGCATTAAAGATAGTAGGGCGGTCCTGGAGGGCGATCCTACTTGACGGTACTTAGCCGATTATACTAGGGCCATTAACCAGGGGCCTAAAGTAGAGTCGAGAACAGGTAGAGACGAGGTTAGTAGAAGTTAGAAAGGGATATATAGATAAGTGGGTTTATAGTTATATGCCGTTATATGTAATCTACAGGCAGAAACCTGGGGAGAGAATAGGTATGGGTACAGGGCTAGCAGGGATAATATAAATAGAGAGGACTACTATATAAGAGTACTAAAAGACTTTGGATTATTAGTAATATTAGGGAGAATAAATGCAATATTTATTATATATTATAGAAAATGGCGTATATATAAAGAGGTATAACCTATTAGATAGAATTATTAATACCTGCAGAACTATGGACCCTAATCCTGATCCCCATATAAAGGAGTGGCTTGATTGCCCCAGATAAGGTAGTCTAATAGTATTGCCGGTTTTTTTTCTGTAATATATAACAAAAAATGGCCTTTATTATATGGTCTCACCTAATTAATTATCTAATCTGAAAAGTGTAATATATAATAAAACAATTCCATATATAGATAATTACTAGTACTATATAAAGAGGGAGTCCGGAACCCAGATACTGGCCGGGATTAAATATAACCTCTATAAAAATTTTATATAGAAATGTTTTGATTTTTGATTTTTGTTACATATTACAATACTCCGGAGAAAATTCTCCTGATAGAGGCTTCTCCTTATAACTTCTATAGTTTGGTTCACGTGATTAGCTCTTGGTTCCCTACCTTCTCTATAGGTGAGTATATAGAGATTAAACCATATAAAAAACGTCTCTCGTTTAAATTAATTAAAAAGCCTTATTAATACTGCCTATATTATAGCTCTTCTAATTAATATTACCTTTATTCTTAGAGGTATTCCTTGATTCTTGTAATATATGGGTATTAAGAAGTTCCCAAGGATTACTGAGCCTTTTTTAGTAGGGCAAGATTAAACTATCTTGCGATTCTATATTTAGAACTCTTTAGGAACCCTATAATATCCAAGTTTAGAGAGCAAAAGACGAGAGGAAATAAGACTTCCTTACAGGTAGGCGGTTATAAAAACCCTGAAAATATACTAACTAGAATGAAATATCTATTTTACTAGCAGGATTCACTCTTTTAAACTAATAAGTATAATATATTAGTACTCTAGTAATACTTTACGGAAGAGTAGAATAGAGATAGGGGTTACTCTTATTAGTATAATTACTAAATAGATCTATTTCTATTAGTACTACCAGAACTACCGAAACGGATCCACTATATATATCTGTTAGTATGACTAATCTACCATATATATCTATTAGCCCTTAACTAGCCTAGTTAAATGGTCGGGTAAAGAAAGAATAGCCAGCCGCTAATCTTGAAGATAACCTACGGTAACGGCAATCAAATAAAGAATTAGCCAAGGACCTGTATTAGTTACTCCTATATAAAGTAATAAGATGCTATAGTTACTCGGATTATATAAGCTTAACAGATAGTTAGTTATCGGAATATAGGTTATAGGGATTAGGGCAAGAAACCCTATAAGCACATCTGTTATAATATAGCTCAATCTGAATTATACTAGCCAGAAAGTCAATCAAGTCTCTACTTATTAATAGTATTATAATTACAAAAAAACTAATCTATAAAATAATACTAATTTATAAAGATATACTGCTAAGAACTATAATATATATAGCTCTTATCTGGGTACTTCCTAACCTTAACCAGAATCCAGAGTATTACGTAATATAAGCCTTAAACTCACGAATTAAAACCAGAATTCTTAGCCACTCTTACCTCTATAAGTTAAGTCTTTAACTTTATTACCAAGGTACTTTTCATAAAGCCTTTCTTTGCGAATCCCAATCCCTGGTATAGAAGATATTATTTATTTCGAGAAGTAATACGGACAAGCGGTTAAAAGAGTATAATAGCCTTCCTAGCTATAACCAAGACCCTCTATAACTCGCAAGGGCCTATTTCATTCTGCTTATTAATAGCCTCCTAGTATAGATATATATTCGTATTATTATCAGGCTTTAAAACTTATATCTGGTTAAGGGTCCTAGTACTCTATAAGTAGTCTAGCCAAAGTTTTGGTTCAGGTTTGGGAATACCATATAAAGCATTAGGCTTCTCTGAGAATCGGACGGTTCCAGAATAGATACCTAAGAAATCCCCTGGAAATACTAGGATAATAGGACAGATATTAAGGAAATTATCGCCGTTTGGCAAAAGAGATATAAAGAGAGCTTTATTCCAATACTATTACGTATTAGTATAATTATTAAAAAGGCTTGCTAGACTCTTAGACGAATTTACTTTAACTACTATTATAAGCTTAAAAGCAGCTTCTTTATTATTCGAGTACTACTTATTAGAAGCGTTATTCCATAAGAACTCCGTAATCTTAAGTCTCTCGGTAATATGTTTTTATATAAAACGGGACTTGCCCGAAAAATCTCCTTTATAATATTCAAATACTCGGCTCTCAAGCTAGTTAATTTGAGGTCCGTAAACTTTTTCCCAGAATACAATAGTATTAATAAGAGAAATGTCCGATCTTTTCGGGTATATTTTACAGTATTCGGTAAACTCAGGAGTTCGGTAATAAGTAATCATCTCAATACCTGCTCTCCGTATATCGGACAAGGCTTTCCAGAAGTTACGATATAGCCGCTGGTTTTCTGGGCTCGTTCCAAGGCCAGTACTAATCATAAAAGTTTTTACTACGGCCTTCTCAGCCACGCTAATACTATTAAGGGATTCCTTAGATAATCCTTCGGGCAAGGTCGCGGGATTAACGAATTTGACGCCTTTCAAGATTATATCCCAATAGGCGCTTTCATTACTATCGAATTAAATCCTGTTAGCTATATACTTTGCGTTTCTCTTCGAGATAGAATAAACTATAGCTTTATATTCCAAGCTAGTAAGCTAGTTCATAAATAAACGAATCTTGGAAGGGTTTATTATTACCATTTTCTCTTTAGTAAGGTTACCGAATCATCCGATCCTATTATATCAATTTACCAACTCCAGGAGTACAGAGGTTGCAATATGAATTGCATTCTCAGGATATAACAAATCTGCTATAGTAGGTAATGGGTACGGGAGCAGCAGGCTTGGCTGGGCTCCTATCTGCATATTCTCTGTCGTAGAGGATGATTCGGCGCTTGAGTTATCCGTCTGTCCTGAGGGGGTACCAACCGTTATATCCTCTGCAGCCGCATTAGTAGCAGGCTTACCGGCTCCAGAAGGTGTACCAACCGCTGCATCCTCTACAGCCGCATCGGTAGCAGGCTCACCGGCTCCAGAAGATATAATAACGGTTATATCCTCTGCAGCCGTATCGGTGGCAGGCTCATCGGCTCCAGAAGATGTGCCGACCGCTACGTCCTCTATAGCCGCATCGGTACCGGGCTCATTAATAGCAGCCGGTGTATCGACTACTGTATCCTCTGCAGCTATATCAATACCGGCCTCATTAACAGCAGCCGGCGTAACGACCGCTGCATCCTCTGCTATCGCATCGGTAATAGGCTCATCGGCTCCAGAGGATATGCCGACCTCCGTATCCATATCGGCGCTAGACTCATTAATAGTAGCTGGCTTTTTGACAGGCTTATCTGTAGACCTGGACTTCTATTTCCTCTTGCAAGGACTTATTAAGCCCTCCAGATTATCAAATTATCGTTTTTGGGTAGAAGATTTGAGGCGATTCGACTTATATATATATATAAATACAAAGTCCTCTGGTTTCAAATCTCTCTTGATTCCAGTATTAAGTCGGATTTGATTAATAGTAATAGGGTTAGCAATAAAGTAAAGTATAGGTCTGGTTAACTACTTACTAATTCTAGAAATATAAGCAATTCCATTATTAAGTACGAGTAGCTTATCGTTTCTATTACTTAATCCACAGGGTATTAGCACTTCGCCAATTACTCGGCATAGCAAGGTTTGAATAACCTCTTCCATAATACGGTGGTTCTTTGAGTATTGCATTTCTGCAAAGTACTATAGACAATATCCGGATATCCCTTTGAGAAGTTTCCATATACTAGGCAAATTTGGATTAGCGGTAATTACAGATAAAAATTGTGAGTACCGCTAAGCCGAAAATAGAAGGAGGGATTGCTTTACGGCACCACAAGCTTGGCGGGAAAGGGGGAATCTTTGACATTATCTACTCTTCTTGCTATATCTAGTATCTAGCTGAGGACTACCTGAGCCGTCTTGCTACTATTAGATATACTATATTATACTAATTACTAGGAGTTTTCTAGCCTCCTCTCAGTTATCCAGAGTTATTAATCCAGTCTTTGATTTGGATTGAAGCACGTGACTGCCCTACAATTTCAATATCGCAACATTGCCAATTTCGTTTTCTATACTCTTCTAATAACGACCTCTACTATAGATTACTTTGTAGTACTTGCAACTTGACGCCTCGATTAATCAAGCACACCTTATTATTAGCTCATTATAAGGCAAAAGTTTGAAGCTCCGAATGAGTTGGCGGTCCGCAAACCAAGTTCGCAATATTAAGCTACTACTACTATTACCATTAATACCAATCCTCCTCGAGATATAAGCTGTTTCCATTGCACCGAGGCCACATAACGTCCTATACGCAAATCGTATACGGTATAGCGCCAGTTACTATATCGTGCTCCCTACGGTACCGTACAAATGACTGCGCCATCTCCATATAATACCATATATAAGAGTTTGAGTAAACGTATGTATTGATTCTATAATACAAGGTATAGTACGAGAGGAAGTCTATAATATAAGCTCACAGTACGTTTGGGTGGTATTTGTATCTATATTGCTAATTTCAAAGCAGGCGAATAATCGAGGGTCATATTAAAGCAATACTTTATTAATCCAACCGTCCTTAACTCTCGCCAGTATCTGAAGCCTTTCAGACGTACCCGGCTGCGACGGCATACATACCATACCTCTTGTGGCATACATTATCGTGCAATTTGCACTGGAGGGAAGCCGAAGCCTTTGTCGATGGGTCAACTCTGCCATTACAAGGCGCCTTGGTCGTCTTCCAAAGACTTCGGCTCAATCCGAGGCAGATTACGCACCATGTATAATATATTAACGCCGGCACAGCCCGCTGCTTAGCCATAAGGGATACCTCCGTACGGATGGAATGGGAAGCAAGAGGAAGCTTATAGACCTATCTAATAATATCCATTTCCTTATGGAATAGAAACAAGATTCAAAAGCTCGCAAGATTTGGAGGATCGAGAATGATAATACGTGAGCTTTAATGGGTGCACTGCAGGGAAACCGACTTTCGTCCGAATTTGGATTACGCCACTTCTTCCTGGATACTATCAGTCGCTGCCCGTACGTATTAGCCGTAGTCCATTGTCAAATCCGAGGGCATTTGATATAATGAGCGCTGCATGCTATTACCGGCAAGGGGGTTCCTGATCGAGAAACCGACGGTGCAGGCCTCTGTCTTACCGTTCTCTAACGAGTTAATATCTCCGAGCTAAAGGTATCCTATGAAAGGTTCATGCAACTATATTAGTAGGGTGGATCTTCGAGCTTATTACAGCTGCGCCATTGGACCCTCTATTCAAAGTATAAGAGGGCAGTACTCCCCCCTCTAAACCACTTTACTACTAGCTTCCTTTCCATTTTTTTCAAAGATCCTTACTATTTCATTTTATTATAAAGATAGCATCTGCAGAATCCGACTTAGTAAAATGCTATAATAATTAATATATACTTTATGCTAATATTGGTTTAAAGAGGACTCAGAAGATATATAATAATTTGACTACGGCCTCTAAGTTAAGGAAGAGGCGGGTATTTCCTTAGGAAAGTTCTCGAGATAGGAGGTCCAGATATAGTATTATAAAGCCTTACTAATCGTAGAATAGACCGGCTAATTATAATTAATAATAATGTGGATTCGCCCAAATAGATAGCTTCTATTCAGGGACTAATTAACGAGAAGTACCGAATTAGAAAGAGAGCCCGAAAAATAAGAGGATCGCTTCAGACTATTAGCGAACCCCTGGATAACCCTAGCTAATTAAGGGAGCTCGTATAATCGAGTAAAAAGATTATTATTATTAGCGGGGCCGGCATCTCTATTAGTATAGGTTATGAGTTAAAGCTAGGTTATAAATCCCTTTATTAATACTAATTTACCTAGTTCCTACCTTTAATAATATACGGAAATCTAAATAGACCTTATTTAACCGCTCTCTCTATTTCTCTTCCGACGAGATAACCAGCTTCTACTTTATAGTCCGTAATATATATAAACGCCTGTATTCGGATTCGACCGAGCCTTTGCCTTTCCACAAGGTTATAGACAAGCTTATATAGACTTGCCCTTATTTTCGGTACTATATATAGAATATTAATTATATTAAGCGCCTATTACCTAATCTCAATACTAAGATAATATGCCTCTATAGTCGAGCTAATCAAGTATAATACGGGATATATAACTAGGTATATGAGTATAAGCCATATCTATTCCAAGGTTCCGATTTGCTATACTATTAAAGGTACTTGCAAAGAAGTTAAGCCCGGATATTAAAGGGCAAGCGATTATTAAATATTAGTAGGCTAAGACCTAATATACTTTTATATGGCAAGCCTTACCTAGATAATAAAAAGATTCTGGAAACTACTAAGTATGATTTGAGAATATACCCGGAGCTAGTATTAATTATTAGTATAAAGCTAGTAATTCCTAGCGCTCGGTTAATAGCCGCAGACTTTTACTATACTACCCGGAGTATAGGTAAGGCAAGTTTTTGGATTAGCAAGAAAGAGCTAATATGGAGTATAAAGTCCTTATATAATTATATCCTTATAAGAAATTATAATAAGGTTATTTCCTTAGATATTTTAAAACTATCTAATTAATACACGTTTATATTACTACAAGCCATTCTTAACTTTACTATCCTATATAAGCTATCTTCGAGGAACTTAAATATAATTTAATACGGATATTATATATAGAAGCCATTACTATAATTCAAGTATCTAGATAGAAATTATAAGTATATAATACGACCTCCTCTCTCCTAGCTTCCTCTACCTCAAGCGTACTTATATAAGCTAACCGGATCATATTAGTTATCTTATAATTAGTATAGACTATACTTAGTTAGTATCTCTCTAGTCCGATTATAGAACTACTTACCAGAGATTAAAGTACGTATATAACGCTAGCCCTAAACTTCTATATTAGTTAGTTCCTATATAAGTATACTAGCGGTATTCAAAGCTCCAAATTTCTAGTATTAATAACCTCTTATTAATTCGCTAGATTTCTCAGGCTAGTTAAGCCCGTAATATTAAACGAATATAGTATATTAAAAGACCTAGTCCGCAAGGATTAGCTATATATACTATGGCACTAGTTAATAGAGCTCACAAATTAACTCCTTGCATTTTTCTAATTAGGCATCTCCCTATTATATTAGTCTATATCTTAGTCGAGTAGCTTATATACTATCTTAATAGCCACATCCTATAGCTCAATTTCGTCGACTTCCTATAGGAGACTTATTACCTGGATCTTAGTAGGCCCTTAATCTCGGGTATTAAATAATTACTTAATATATCCTAAATAAGCTATAACGCTAATTCCCGATATAAAGAGAATAATATTACCATAATTCTCGGCCAAGGGTAACTCCCCGTATAGGCCTTTAAGGAAGGCTCTTATTACTATAGGTTATACCTGGAGAAGCCGAGTAAATCCCTTCCGCTATTAGAGGAGAGTAGTAATATTCCTGGCCTTGTTTTCCTTATCCTAATCCCATAATACTATAAAAAAGGAATATAATTTATTAATAGAGAGTACTAATATAGAAGGAACTCGCAAGAAGATATATTAGTCCGTACGAACTTAATAAGGCCTAGCCAGGGTAATATTAGCCTTTAGTAATCCATTTTCTTTAAAGATCCTGACTTCGGCTCTATTTTATAGAGAGATTCCTATTTGAACTATAATAAGTATAGCATATAGCGAGCCTGTAATAATAAGGAGAATAATTAATAGTTATAAAAAATTAAAGGAGGCAAGATATAAGAAGATCATAACTATTATAATAATAGTTAAGGCTATATAAGTATTTAGAAATAATTCATATATATGGTATTAAATAAACGATAATAAAAATATACCTAAGATAGCTATACTAATAGTAGCCTGGAGCGTTTTTAGTATGGGAACCTTTAACCAGACTTAATTATAACTTATAGTAAGACCTGCTATACTTAATATAGATATGAAATGACATATACCAGGGCAAATTAGACTCAAAGCAGCTATTAAGTAAACGGTATATTTGACTATAGCAATAATACTAAGCTATCTATAAATGAAATTCTTGAACTATTATAATATATAGATATACTCAGAGAATATATTAGGTCTACTATATAGTAAGAGCAAAATCAGATTAATTAAAATAGCTTTACTAGATTATTTTATTAGTACTACTCGGCCCTTAGAAATAGCGAGAATTATGGTATTAATTACAAGTATAGAAAGAAAACTAATTAGATAAAGTAATATAGTAATGCCCATATTTCTAAGGTATTAATAGAGTAGATAATTAGAGGCATATCTGCAAGCAAAGAACTTAAGATAACGGGAATTAATATAAGAAAGGGAATTATTTTATAGGTAGTATTATAAAAATACTAAGATTATAATCCCGAGAAGTATATCTCTAGGGATAATTATAGCGGCAGTTATAATATCTATTATATCTTAGCCAGGATAGGTAGTTCTTTGGTATTTAAAGATATACTTATAAAGATATATATATAAAGCCTTACGGAAATTTATTCTTAGAAATAAATATATCTATATATAAATATATCCAAGATTTCCCAGGTTTATTTCAGGCAATTTTCCTTAATATAGAGCTAACAGGATTAATAGAGACATTAAATTACCAAGCTAGCTTTAACTAGATAAGAATAAGTATATTAAGATAACAGGTCAAACCGCTAACTAATCTGTATAATTGCCTCTATTACCTTGCGGACCGTATTAATAACCGCCTTGTTCCAAGGCTCGTTTCCAATATGTTATCTTAATAATAACCTTTGCTAGCATAGCATGTCATTAAAGCCTTCTGCTATCTCTTTATACCCATGAAATAATGGGATTAAAAGTAGTATTACAGGTAAATAAGTAATATTTCCTCGGCATACCTATAACGAGATATCACGTAATGACGATGAGGATCCGGCAATAATATAAGCATATGAAGTTGACCCTGTAAAATTAGGAAGTCACCTTAATACATATAGTGTCTATAAGCTAATATTTCAAATACTGCGCCTATATCACAAGTATGGGAAACCGGCATCTATAGCGCACCTATTACTGGAAGTCTTCAAGATAATCAAAAACAAGGTCTTTGAAGTACATTTGGCCGCATTAATGCCCCAATGGGAACAGGATTATTCTTGCTTCCGTAAGAAGTGCCGGCCGACAGACCACTACACACCTTGGGAGATTGAGAATTTCATTAACATAATCAAAATTTCAGAGCCAGAGCCCCTCAAACAATTGGACAGTATCATGGATCACTACGGGACTCACGAGTTTAGACATAACAACTTCCGGTACAGTTAGAGATGTAAGCTAGATCCCCTTGGTGGTTTACCGCCTGGGGTTAACTATATCGGCCACACGAAGTTTGTGAGTTAGACTATTTAATATTATTGTCTCTTTTCCGAATGAGAATATTATACTGCAATATGGCTCTATACAGAAGCTTACTCTCTAATATATCAGTTACTGAAGCAGGATTTTGGCCTCGATGTATTAGCTGGCCAATATGAGTTCATGGTTTTCAAGAGGACCGTCAGCTACATAACGCTACCGATGTCTGCCCTAGAGCATCGCCAATTGTTTATATGCGAGATGTTAAATAGATAGAGATCCTATGTGACTTACGACATAAATACAATGCGGCCACTCAATAAAGGCCTATTCCACGCGGCCTTAAAAGCCTTGCGTTTGGAAAATGATAATACCAAAGGTGCAACCCCTTTTTTAGACACCTCGTATATCTCCGTTAGCTCACCTTAGATGGCAGGTTCTCAACTTCGATATTTTATAAAACCTGTTCTTATTTACCCAAAAGGACATGAGATTGAAGGGGACGAGGAAGATCTCCATCTACCTCTGGTACGTAAGGAAGATATTGGTTTGGGGAATAATATGCCATAATGCTTGAGAGTCTAGGTGAGACAAACAGGGAAGAGTTAAATATGTATTAATGTATAAATATAATAAAGCTTTGTATGTTTGAACGTGCTTATCTTCATTTCAGGCTTACTAAGGCCAAATCTAAGATCTTTTATAATAGAGAAATTGAAGCTATTCATTATGATATAGTAGAAATTGCAATATAGTATTCGAGGTTCAACTAATTGGTTTGGAAGGTACAATATAGCAGAAATTACAATATAGTATTCAAGGCTTAGCTAATTGATTCAAAAGTTATAATATAGTAGAAAGTATAATGAAGTAAAACCTATAATAGAGTACAGGTTATAATAGAGTATAAATTACAATAGAGTACAAATTATAATGTAGTAGAAATTACAATAAAGTATAAAGAGGAGGCTCGTCTGATTGGTCGTAGAGTTACAAAATAGTAGAAATTACTATAAAGTAAAACTATAATATAATACAAATTACAATAAAGTACAAAGAGGAGGCTGATCTGATTGGTCGTATAATTACAAAATAGTAGATATCATAATTAAGTAAATTTATAATATAGTCGAAATTATAATATAGTAGAAATTAGACTAGTATTTCAAAGGAATCTAATTGTTCAAGGCCCAGAACGCTCAAAGGACAACACTGACGCCTTCTATATACTAATCGGCACAAAGATAAAAGATTAAAGCTACCATTGGAAAGTATTACGCTGCCTCTGACTAACAAGATAGGCAATTCCACGAAGTCTGTCCTCCTGAGATCTATTTTCATACTCTCCCCCATGCGGGGGCCAATACCGTTCGAGCAATTCAGGCAACACGTCTCGATATTCCTTAAAAGTGAGCTCTTTCATAGCAACGTTATAGAAGCTTATCCATTCTCCATTATCTGGAACACGGTTACTCCCTTCGAGGATCTCTTTGAGCATCCGACCAACCGATCGAAGATCTCCCACGTCGCAGTTGTCCTGTGCGACCTGACACAGGTGAACATTTGCTACGCCATTTCTTAGCAACTTTTAGACGCTCAAATACCGAGACTCACCAAGTTTAAACCCTTCCCCGGTCACTAGTATGTGTTCTGCAGTGAAGTTACCACGTAAGAGATTCTGCCTAGCTAGGTATTCAAGAGCGTGAAGCGTCTGTACTGTGTTAGTATTGCTGTGCTAAGTAGTTTCTTAAATAACATACGTCTTGGCAAATTCTTCGCACATCTAGTAATGACCATGGATACTGGGCTGCAGCGGCCGCAACTGTGACAGATAAGGGCGGCTTCATGACGTATAGTTCACACTGCCCCTTCGGATCAGTCTCATCTTGCCCAGCCTTTGTCGGCAACCAGTGGCCAGTGCCAGAGTTATCGTCATCAAATCCGACGATGTTAGGATGGTTAAGCGCGCGTAACGTATTCCACTCGCTCATAGTCTTCGACGCGTTGACCAGGACTACTCCAGGTATTGACTTGTACGTTACAAGCTTTACTCGGATCCCACCAAACTCAAAGGTGCCATCAATGTGATCCTCGCGCCCAACCGAGTCTGACGTAGCAACGGACGGTGGCATCTTCAATGGGGTGTGCACGCCACTCTCGCCCTGGCCTGTGCCTCTCAAGCGCCATATACCAGTTGCTCTTCGAGATACTGCTCCCGAGTCGTGCTCCATTATGCTTACGGTTTGATGCTCTAGAAGGACTGCCTGCTGCTTTATAATGCTGGGATCCAATCCAGTCAGCACCCAGCTTGTCATCTGCACTCAGTCAGCAAAGAAGGCCTCGGCATGTAGCCGCCATATATGCAGGAGATAGACCTCGAACGGTTCAGTACGTCCTGCGCGGGATGAGAGACTCACAGGAAAACGCAGAGTCCCTGGACCATCTCGCTGAGAGGGCTCGAGTGGGTGTAGCTTTGGTGAGATTGGAGAGTCTGAAGTATGAGCCGCCTACAGGCCGGCCATCCATTCCGCTTCAATCCAGAAAGGTAGACTTCTGGCTCGACGAGTTCAGAGATCGGGGATGCTTTCCAAACGTTCAACGGAACCGTATACGGGCCAAAATATCCCCATCCGTTCTCGCCCAGGCGCTGGGTCTATCTAGAGCAACCATCGAAGATTTGCAGGACACCGAGAACCTCCGACGCCTTGAGCTTCCTCAAGGCGCCGTGCTGACGCACACTCACGGCCAACACAGACTGGAAGCCGCAAGACAACATATTTATCCTCACAATGTGTGGTGGGCTGTTGATCTCCTCAATGAAGGTATTCATGCGGATTCGGATATAATTATGACGAGCTGACAATGTAGATGATTTGAATCTTCAGTTCGACGTCGAGGAGCAGAACCGGAACATCGAGTCCATCCCTCACAACGATGGGACCGTCTTCCGCTTTCTCGAGACCGATGGGTCGTGGAGAAAGGGGTTCTGCTCGAAACGGGTGGAGGTCGACTTGAAGGCGATTGAGAAACGGCCAGCCTTGTATGCGGCGCTTGCTGCGTTACGACCCTTCGTAGGGTTATGGGATTCTTTTCACAAGGGAACTCTAGAGCGTATTAACTGCCTGAAGTGCGACGATGTAAATCACGTTAGCCTTGCCTCAAAAAGCACCCACTGATGGTAACAGGAACTTATATATTACCTCGATAGCATGAAAAGGACGTGGATGTTCATCGTTAGCGGCGACCTAGAGCTCGCAGAGAAGATAGACCCAACAACAGTAAAACTAATTGAGGCAAGGGCCCCGATGGTATCATTTGCAGATAAAGAAGATATTGTGCGTGGATTTCAGGACGGGACAATCTTTTGTCAGGTGGGTGAAGGCGCTACCAGAACGCGGCTTCAACAGAACGTTCTGGCCGTCAACGGAATGATCACTTCCATCAGGACTTTCTTGGCCGATACGTTATACCTTGAAGACAGTCACGTCGCCATGAAAGTCCTCATCGATCCCACGAGATGTCAAACCAGAGAGGCACTACGACATATGTGGCGCGGTTCTCCAATGAACCGTGTAGTGCTGGAATATGCCGACGGATGGACGGAGGCGGTTAATATCCCCATGGAGGAGGAAGGCCAATTCCAGATAGCATATATATAGCTTTGGATGTTCTCGATGCGCAACTATCCCCGCCTCACGAATCTCGTCCCGAAGACTGATGGCAAACACAAGGTTTCCTGCATTGGGCCAGACCTAGAATGGCAGCGGGGGTTTGCCGCGATTGCCAAAGCTTTCGGGTTTGAATCAACGGCGATTAATCTTCTGCTTGAGGAGGACCCAGACCGCGTAAACGTTCGAGATATGCTCTCAAAAGCTAGACCACCAAATAGATTTGAATACGACCTCCAAGCCGAAACCCAGTCACACTGCGAATTACTTCATCGAATACAGGTGACGCGGCAGCAGCCGCGTCGAGGCGTGTCGCCACGGTGGACCACGGACGTCTCAAACGTAAAGAAGAAGCGGCGGTACGGGCGGCCATATGAAAGAGCACTCAAGGAGTGTAACCCTTGCTTCTTCTTCCACAACATCTGCCAAGCACCTCCTAGTGGGAGGTACATCACCGACTTGTTTGTCAAGCGCAGCATCTTGCAATTCTTCTTTCAAATTCCAGCCCTTCCTGCTGACCTGTCGCTCTGGCGTGGTGTAGACCTAGAGACCACTGACAGACACATCCAGCGTGCGCCGGAGCAGAACAATGGCCTTGATCAAGCTCGCGAACGCATCCGCGCACTCCAGAACAGCGCAGCCCAAACTGCAGCCCAGAACGCAGCCCAGAATGCAGTACATGAGGCTGCGCAAGCTGCGATTACGCTGCGGCTGGAGGATGCCGAGAAGCGATTGGCTGCACAACAGGAAGAGAATGTGCACAATAACGCAAGGCTGTCCGAGGCTCGAGAGAGTTCAGCGGGGCAACTCGCGCAAATTCAATATTACCAGAACAGAATTGATGAACTTGAGACTGTAGAGAGAAATCGCACGCGGGAAGAGTCGCGACAACAGTTGGAATTGGCTGAGAAGCTTCGTCAGAGTCAGCAGACGATAGAGGCTCTTGAAAGGACAATTGCAGATCACGAATCTGCTCGCGGAATGCAAGTCGTACTCGCAAAGCAGTACCAAGATTAACGAGGGATGGCAGACGAATTGGAGAAATGTCGCTTGATGATCGCAGAATTCGAGCGTAGGATCTCGGAGTACAAGTCTGAGAGTGATAGGCAAGCATTAGCGGCAGAGTCATTGCGATAGTAGCTTGCCGCATATTCACAACGAGCAATGACAGAATTAGAAGCACTATGATCGAGAATCGTGGAATGGGAAAGGGGTGACATACGAAGGCCAGAAGATCAAAACGTTAATAAAATATCCCAAGGCTACTAGCAAAGAGCTGCTGAATTAGCACTCCTCAGCCAAAAGCAGGTCGCAGACCTAACTAAATCCAATGAAGCGGTTAATAAGAAGGATAGGATCTTAAACGTGATACTTGCAAGGATTAAGCAGACTCGAGAAGGGGTCGAGATACTGAGTGCCGCTTTTACAGAACGACTCTAACTTGAGCCAAACCATAAAAGCAGTAATCGTGTGACGATCTATCCGGATGAACTTCTATTCGAAGATCTTCCCGGGGTAGAGGCGCAGATCGAAGACCTGGAAAAGTCGATTGCCAAGTTTATTACTATCTATAGTCTAAAGAATCCGGCATAAGACGAGAATCCCCCCGTAAAGATACTCGAGTTACAGAAGCTAGCCCCGAATGCCCGGCTCGCTATTACAGACGGGAGCGGCGCTAGAGGCGATATAGAGGCCCCGGATCTCAACCGGATACTCGCAGTCATAAGCAGACGAGCAGAAGTCTTAGAGCAAGAAGGTCGGGCTATCTATAACCTCTAAGCAGAACTAGACATAGCGAGGGCAGCCGCTAAGAGCCAATAGCAAAAGGCGGAACGTATTAAAAGGCTCGAGGAGGAGCTCGCAGAGGCGGAGAAGCAGTTATAATAAGAACAAGTAGCTACTAGGGACCTTAAAGAAAGCCTAAAGATAGCGCGCGACGCCATATAGAGAGAGATAGAGCTTATAGGCATCCTTAGGGGAGAGCTAGATATAGCTAAGGCAAAGAATAAAGTACTACTCTAGCAAGGGAAGGCAGCTATTATAGAGCTCGTAGCAGAGTTAATAATAGTTAAGGCAGACACTAAAATCTTATAGAAAGAAGCAGAACGAGTTCATGGCCTAGAGGCAGAACTAAATAATTCAAGAATAGTACTATAAGCTATAGGCAAGGCGCAAGAGGAACTAGAGAAGATAAGACAGGACCTAGGAGACTTAAGGCAACTATTAGGCTCATATATTAAGGAGCTAAAATTAGTAAAAGCCGACGCTAAAAAGAGGCTAGAAGCCTCCAAGAGTCAAGTAATAGGCCTGGGAAAAGACCTAGAAATAGTACGGCAATTTATTAAGGAGAGAGAAATAGAGTTAGTAGGCTTAAAGCTTAATATCGGTAATAATAACGAGCGCATAAGATTATTAAAGGCATAATTATTTGAGACGAACCGTCTAATATAGCTAGAGAAAGAGAAGCAGAAACTCGAGGCCGAGTAGAAAGAGATTCAAGCTATAGTGGCCAAGGCAAAAGCCTCAAGTAGCCAGGATCTTGGGGAACTTATATAGTAGGAAGCGTATATTAATACTAGTCTCTTATAGGTTAAAGAGAAAATGGTTATAACGGGATTAGATATTATAAGATATGCAAAGTATAAAGTATACTTCGAAAGTTCTAAAACCGGCTATTAGATAGGTATTAACTATATTCTCGTAAAAGACCTAGGGAAGAAGTTTGAGGAATTACGTAATTAGGTCATTTATTATTTCGTAAACGGTATTATAATAGTAGTAGAGCTCGAGAAATACAAAGACTTCTTAGTAAATTAAAAGCACCTTGCAGACTACGGGAAATTCTTCTATTATAGCTATAATCTACCTCGGAAGAGATATTATAGTCTGGATAATATAGGAGAAGATTTGAATAGTACTCCAGGACCTAGAGCTCAGGAACTAGCAAGATTTCGTACTAAGTCTAAAGAATCCCGCGGCTAATCCCTATTTCCTTCTTTTTATTACCTTTTATATGTGTTTCGAGGTAGTAAGAAGGATAGGTCATAGTAATATTAATATTCGGTTCTTCGTCTCGAGGGATCTGTTACGGTAATGGCTGTTCGAGTACTGGTAGAAGAAAGCTGCGAGATGGGAGGGTTGGCCAGTGTGCGGTACTAATGTAAGCTAGGCCCTGGCCCTCGGGTAATCGCAAATGAAGATCGTTGTGGATTTAATCTGACGATTGACTTGATCCAACGTTGAATTTTGGTGCGGGGCTGTTCTTCTTCACCCTGCGCTAACCAAATTCGGTTAGGCCGGCCGTCTGGCTTCACGATGTGCCATTGTCGCATATAGCCAGCTATTGCGGCAATGAGGGGCTTGCTGTCTATCACTACTTGATGAGTGCCTCGAATTGTCTTTGCATGGCTTCGGCACGTTTGAAATTGAGCATCCTTCTAATCAACGCTCAAACAAATTGTTTATGGGTGCAGGATGGATAAAGAGAGGGATCTCTCTGATGCGGTATCACCAGGACCACGTCCAACGAATCTCAACAGTTAGGTCAGTCGTGAAACAAGAGCGTTATCTCGATTGTAGCTAATCTGTTTCCCCTAGATTTCGCCTAGCTGAACCTCCGAACGGAGCAGCATCGAGCCAAACCACTGCCAACCTCGTAATCGAACCTTCGGCGGGTCGACATTCACTTCAGCGACATCTCAGTTCAGCTCTTCCACCTACGGTCGTGGTATACTGAAAACAACGAGTACCCATGAAAATCTTTGTACAAAAAGATATATCTAGAAAGTTGCAGGTACCTATGAAAATTATGTACAAATGGTGTTCGGAGCAGAAGATAACCCGCCCTTCTTCTCGTCTAATTGCTATATGCCTCTTGCATTCTTTTGTCCCATATAGGGTCTGTAGAACTTCTCTGCTCCGTTTACCTAGTCACTATATATTAATTCCTCTCCTTGACAGATATAGGGTGTATACGGAACTCGAGCTTACAGGTTGGAATGAAAGTGGAGGCTTCGACTTGTATCTCAAATCACTTAGGTATTTGCCTCCTCGTCAAGACCGAGCGGTGTGGAAGCTTTGGGATCGTGCCCCCCCGGATCCAAGAGAAGCTTGGTGTGAGGATCGAGGAACAATCGCGGAAGCATTTGCTTCTACCTGAGATATATCACATATATTAGCAGTTGTTTCAAGTATATAAGGCAAACGATGTAATACATCACGAGCATCCTGCTGTTGCTGTTGGCGCGATTGGCGTTCGTCATACTTAGCTTTAGCACACTTGTAGCATGTGTAAGCGAACCCGGCTACTGCTACTATCGCTGATGCAGAGCCAGCCGCTACGCCGACAATCTGAAGAGCGGACGGCATTGAACCGTTGGAAATGTGTTCAATAATTGAATCTGCGTCGGGGAAGGATCGATTTGAGTAAAGCAGGTATATCTCTTCGTTTCTAGGCAACAGCTCTATGTCGTATAGCCAGCTTGGACGGAAGAGAGGTTTGTCAGGAAATAAACAAGGTGAGCTCGCGGAACGCGTGTACATATATATTACCTATCGGACGCGATTGTTTATGCGCTCACACATGACTAGCAATGGCGAAGCGACGGATGAATCAAAGCGAGTGAAACAATGCCATCAGATTGACAATAAAGCAGGAAACAGACATCATTGTCAACATCTCGTGGCATTGATGCTTAGAGGAGCTAGGTTAGGGAGACGGTGCATAGATCAATTCAGAGATTGATTTGTTTATCGAGTAGCAGAGCGTTTTGTCCGAAACAATTTCTGAGACTCCCTCGCGCTTGTGTGAAAGAGTCGCCAGGCTTGGCGTATATTAATTGGCCCTGGCGGTCCGAATTATGCGCCGTTTGCCCCGAATGGCTTGGGACCCCCTACCGTGACACCGTGACTGGATAAGACCGCCTGGGTCCTGCAAGGCAATTTGTAGGGACGCAACCTTACTCGGGTGCTTCTGTCAACTGGTTTCCTAACAAATGATTACTAAGGGTGGGCAGTTTGACGAGTGCGATCGATCGTTCTGCAGTCGGTAACCCTAACCTCAACTCTCGCCCTCACAGATTCAACGACGGTTTAGGTTATGGATCGCAATACTCAAAGGGAAATGCCGCCACAATTTCAAGTGGTAAAGATTTTCCCCCAACGTTGGCTATTTGTGCCTTCATTAGCTAGCTAAATTATATCCCTGTACCAAATCTCAATGATGCGCAAAGCTACAAATGATGTCGTGTATTGTCTCAGTGAGGTAGTTAGTAAGCAGGTCGGGTGGGCGTGGTGGGGTAGGTCACCGGACCATATATTCAGCTCGGCACACCACCATCGGGATGGCCTGCGCATACGTCCTTCTAATCCTTCTTCAGCTCCTCTATTGAAACTTTGTATCGCTGCCTTCTACGCATAATTATCATGACGCTGATACTACCGAAACTATACCGGGTTCAACATTCAACGTCCTTTACTCACCACGCTAATCACGAAGGCTTTAGAGCGAAGGGTACATACTGGATGGACTATAGCCATTGGTTCAATCCAAGAAAGGTGACGAAGCATCTAGATTGGAAAGATAGATCACTCGAGCCAAGCCCGTTTATATCCTTCTTTGATAACCTAAGTAGGCCTAAGTTTGCACGAGTATGCTGTACAAGACGGCTGCTAATATATATGTCCTAGAGGATACTCAAATGCGGGCGTCATTCCACCGCAAGGCAGGCTGTGAGGGGGTGTTCGTGGCAGAGATCGATATCTCCAATTTTACTCCATACTGCCTTCGTATCGAGTTTTTGGAAGGACCTATTGAACTAAATGGCTTGCTACATACCCCGACAACGACAATGCTGTTCCCTTTGGTGGAGCTAAGGAGCAAATTTCATCTTGATTTTCGAATAATTCAGTCCTCGGAATGGATTGCGCTATCGTATATTCCACCAGAGATAGTTACCTATACGAATTTTTAAGTGCGTGCAAGGCACCTTGCTCGGATTGCGAAGTGGAGACGGCGATGGCAATAGAGGAGGTTTGGCGGTCGTGACATAAGAAAAGGGAGGGAAGAGGTGTGGAAAAGGTTTCTCTCCAGGAATCAGGATTGCTCATGGTGGCAATCTTCCTTATCATGTTGTCTAGTCGAGGCCAGTAGCTGTGCACCCAAAGGATAGCAAAATGGGAATGTCATTTCTACGACCTAAATAGGCAGTAGCCCAGTTTTCATGTGCGATATTCACGGAGCAGAGGTTTTGCAGTGTTGCAAAGCCCTTTGATACTGTCACGGTTGAGCAAGAGCGTCATACTCTCGCTCTGCTGTTTGTCGCTTGATGACCAGGCATATCTAGAGTCAGGATTGAGCTTCAAACATCTTTGATCGGAGCTGCTAAGATTAAGCTGACAGCTTTCAAGCAGCTGACACATGTCAGCCCTTGACCATTCCAAACAGTGTTATAGCAGTCATCTTTGAGCTATAGCTGACTGGTTCCTTGTAACCTGAGCTGACGGCTATCAAGTTTCATGGCCACAGTCTTCAAGACTTTCCAGAAATAGCTGTGCTCCCTAATATATACGGATTTGCATCTATAGATCTAAAATAGTAATTGAAGAGTGCTCAAATGAATAGAGATATAAGACTCTCAATCTTTCTGTAAATCTTCTTTGATAAAAGAACCAGCAAAGCAAGATTGACTTCTGAGCATTATTATCTCAACCTTACTACCAAGAAACTGCTCAAAACGTGACTATGGCGGACATCGCGCCTAATAGGACCAATAATACCGCGGCCACTCAGATGGGCAAGGATAGAGGGACCATTTAATCTAATAGCCTCGCGACCCCAGAGCCTACCCCTGGCCCGGAGGCCGAGCGGATTACTGCCGATTAACTATATTAGAGTATAGAAGTTTTAGAGCTTGAAAAAGTCCTCGGTATTAAAGTTAACCGTCGTCTTAATTAGGTAGAGGAGATCAAGAAGATCTACCTGGTAAAGGCCCTAATAGCTACTAAAAATAAAGGCAATTAGTCAGGTAAGTAAACCTCCTTAAATAATATAGACTGCTTTATTTAATTTATATATTAGTACTAATAATAGCATATATAGTAACGGGGATTAGTAAAGAGTAGATAGATAAAATAAACTAATAGCTCAAACTAATTCCCGATTAGATAAATCCCAGCCATACTTTAATATTACCTGGAAAAGTATAATATAAAAAAGTAATATTTATAGAAAAGATTAAGTAAATCCTTAATATAAAGAATATTCCCGGCATTAATTAGCTCGAGAAGATTAAGCAGATCTATATAGCAAAGGCTCTATAGGTTACTCGGAATAAGATAGTTTAGTAAAGTAAGTCAATATCTCTATAACTAGCCGTTTACTAACTAAAAGTGCCAGAACTATAGGCTATAATTAAGGCATTAGGAATTACTAGAGGCTAGATAGAAGTAATAAATTATAAGCTAAAATTAATCTAGGATAAGAAGGAAGACAAGGAAATAGAAGATAAAGAGGCTATAGCCTTTATTTAAGAAGTCTATATACGTATTATACTTACTATAGAAAAGATCTTAAGTAATAATAATAATAATAAGCTCTATATAGAAATTCTAGAGGCAAATAATACTATAGTAAGCTAGTAGTAGAGCTATCCCGATAAAGAGAATATAGTTAACTTAATTAATATAAAGAGAATTAAGGATATTATAATTAAGGCCTATTTCCAGGCTATAAAGTTTGAAAAAGATCCTACTAATACAAGAGCAAAAGAATAGTTTCTTAGTAAAGTATAGGAACTTGCCGAGCTAGTCGAGGCGAGCTCTTATCCCAGTACTTGGATATTAAAGCTACTACCTAAAGTACTAAAGCCCCTGCTATCTAGAAATAATAGCACTAGTCCTATAAGTACTACTTCTCTTGGCACTGCTCCTGGTACTGCTCCCGCTAGTATTATAGCTAGTAGTATTACAAATAATGGCATAGGTAGAACTAATATTAGTACGGACCCTTATAAATTAAATAAACTAAATATAAGAAAACCGGGCTTTACCAAAAATAGAGAGATAATTATAGGATATAAGTTCAAGTATTTCAGAAAGAGTAATAAAAAAGGCCAGGTATATAGCGGGTAACTCTTTATTGCAATTAGACCGTAAGCCTGCCCTTATATTAAGGTCCTTTCCCGTAAAGACTTTACTAGAAATATAGTTAATATATATCTGAACTATACTCATATAATAGAGGTTAGCGGAAGGACTAAGAAAGATAAGTTTATTAAGATTCTCTATACCATAGCTAAATCCTGCGGACCGGAGTCCCTAAAAGAACCTATAATCTATGCCTTATATAAGCGGAAAGAAGGAAATCCTATCTAGATATAGTATATAGATCTTTAAGATTAGGTAGAAAGTAAAAGGGCTATAGATAACTTGCTTCGGAAATATATAGAACGAGAAAAGAATAAGAGGGCCCAGTTCTATATAGCCTATAGTATTAAGAAAGAACCAGAAAGCCGAGATTGAGTAGAGGATAAGCATACTCGTATCTATAGGAAAAAGGCCATAGTACCTATAACTAAAGACAGGACCTTCCTATTTATTAGAGTATTAGTCTCGCAAGTAATTAAGGCCAAAGCGCAACCGGTAATTAAGGTTAAAGGGCAGCTTTTAGCTAAGGTAAAAGGATAAGGCGGATTTGATCCGACTAGCTTTCTTTCTTTTACTACTTGGTATAAAGAGAAGTATAATATAAAGCTAGGTACAGATCCTGTAGAGCTAATAAAGTTAATAGCTATATTCAAAACTATTCAAGATACGCTCAGTTTATAGCCGTTATTCCTTCCCTTTAATTAGTTCTGCTTTTTAGGTCTGGGAGCTTTCCTTACTCGGTATATAGCCCCTAGCACTTGCTTACTAGCCTCTTTTTATTAATTTGCCTTTCCTTCTGTATTTGTTCGGGTCTGTTATTTTGCAATTTAATTGGTTTTATGCGTAATTATACTAGAGCATTTTAGACTTAGTACTAATAATATCTGTCCCTGCATGCCGAGACGCCCCCCGTAGCGAGACGAATCTATAGTTTTAAAATTATAAAAAATTTCTTTATAAATCTATAAAGTTATTATTAACATGTTATTTTCTTTAGCTATTTCTCCCTATAGAATTCACTTAGTTATAAAGAAAGGACTATAGTTAATTATACTATTAATCGTTTTAATCCTGCCACTAATTAACGCTTCGGCTAGTCCCCCCTACTCAATTATAACTACTAGAGTCTCTTCAAAATTCGGAGCACTTGAAGAGAGGTCCTATAAAGGAAGAATATGGCTTCAAGTTTTAAAGATGCTCAGTAGAGAAAAGAGTACATTCCGGGAGTTACGCCGTTCGAGGGTAAGATCGCCACATGTTTTAGCTTCAGTGTTTAGTGCTTAGTAATGTACACTCGCCTACGGCGCAATACACTATATTCACGCCCAGTCTCGCTATATTTCCTTTAGCCCTAATCCTCAGGCCAGATCATGTGTGTGGCGTCCAGAGCAGGTTTCTCGAACTTTCCATCGGCGGGGCGGCGCCCCAGCGCCCAGGCACCAGCGTGCTGCCACCTGCCCGTCGTCTCGTCGTCGACCGTCTCCCGCCACGCCACTATCACGACGGTAGGACAAGATGGACAGGGCCAGTCAGGTACTAGTGCAAGGCGTGCCTCCTGGCATGCCGACATCATATCGTGCCCTGGCAGATCATAGCGATGTCCCTCGCTCTATCCTCCATCATCGTACTGCGGACGCCGCTCGAAAGAAGCGAAGGACCAGGACCAATGGTACCTTAAGCCGTACGAAGAAGATGTCGTTGTTAAGTTCTTAGTGCAAATGTCCAACCTTGGGTAGCCAATACGGATGAAGTTTATCCCATCGATCGCCTTCAGCGTTACCCGCCAGCGACCCGCGGCAGAAAGACCGCTAAAGGCACCCGGCAAGAACTGGACAAAGGCTTTGGAAAGGCGCCACCCAATCCTCACGGCGAGAAGACTCGGGGCTATAGACTGGAACCGCCACAATAAGAATATCTATAAGAAAGTCACACGCTGGTTTGAGGTAATCGGAGAAGTATTACAGGAGCCGGCCGTCCTGGCCAAGAATGTTTATAATATAGACGAGACCGGAGTCATGCTCTCTATGCCAGGCTCGGTCAAAGTCCTCGTAGATAAGGATGACAAGCGGAAGCATAGAGGTGTGCGAGTCAAGCGCACCATAGTAATTGCGATTGAATATATTAGTGCTAATAGTAGGTATCTAAACCCGATGATTATCTGGCCAGCCAGCACTTATCGAAGTAACTGGACCACATTCCCTACCCCTGGATAGTACTATACCTGCTCTGATTCGGGCTATATCGACTCCAAGATCAGCTTAAAGTGGCTCAAGCGTATATTTGATCCCGAGACCAAAAAACGAGCTAACAAGAGACCTCGAATACTGATCTGCGACGGCTTCGGGACGCATGAGTCCCTCGAGATCCTAGAGTTCTGCTTCGAGAATAATATTCTTCTGTATCGTCTCCCCTCTCATACTTCCCACAAGCTCCAGCCTTGTGACGTAGCAGTGTTCGCCCCACTCAAGGAGGCGTATCGTGCCCAGGTTGATCGACTAGAGCGAGGAGGGGTGAATACAATCGGCAAGCAGCATTTCATCTCCCTCTTTAGCCCGGCAAGGGTGACCGCGTTTACGCCGAAGAATATCAAGGCCGGCTTCGCTGCAAGCGGCCTGTTCCCCTTCAATCCGGACAGAGTGCTTAGAAGTATGCCAATGCCCCCGGCTGAGCCCGCTCCCGCTGTTCCGAGAGCCGATAAGATGACGGTAGGGTCTTGTCGGCAAGATGTAGAGCTGCCAATACCTGAGACACCTGTGACACCAGTGTCAGCAGAGGCGCTCATGTCGCTACAAAACCGCATCATCCACCAGGATGCTCATGCGCTCGACGAGACGAGTAAACAGAACCTCGAGAGGCACTTATAGAAATTTGTCAAAGCTTACCAAACATCCTCTACCCAGGTCATCCTCAAGGATAACCAGATTCAGTTCCTAACCACGATCAATAACGAAGCCAAGGTGCGACGATCGACGAGGCTATTAGTGCTAGCGAAGGGGACAAGGGAGGGGAAGGTAATGAGCTATAAGGACCTTGTGGAAGCACGAGCGAAGCGTGTCGAAAAAGAGTCTGCCCAAGAAGCCAAGGGTAAGAGAAGACGCGGTCGGAAGCCCAAGAGCAGTCCGCCTGACCCGCCCGAGGCAGAGGAAGGCACCGCAGGCACGGCGCGACGTGGCCGGAAGCGCAAGAGTAGGACGCCAGAGGCAGATGAAGGTACCATAGACACGCCGAGACGTACTCGGAAACGCAAGAACCCCGCGCAAGATGCGCCTGAGCCGAGTAGCATAGTTGCGCCAGCACAGATTGTGCCCGAACTATGGAGAGCTCCAGTGGCGCAGATGTTTTAGCGGAGAGGGGACAGCCGCACGATATTTTGATGGAGTCGATAGACTGATCCTCGGTGGAGGCAAGCTCGGGCTGGCTTCGAGACTTGTTGCTATATCTTATACTAGAGTTAATGTTAATCTTCGTTGGGTTTTGATAGATACAAATTGGTTATACTAACCTCTGCCTGCTATTGCTCTTGCCATCGTTGTGCCCTTTGTTCTATATCTTGTGTGTTGCCTCTTATCGCTATTACTATCGTGCCACGCTGTTGTTATCTGAGCTGCTGCTGATACTGTCCTTACAAAGTCATCGTCGCCTTGCGTGCTGATACCTGGCTCCACTCGGCAGTCTCTCGACCCTTGCGGACTCTTAATAAGGTCATCTTCGAATTCATAAGCGATCTTGCAAGAGGAGCGGGAGGCTATGGCTGAAAGTCGAGTTCGTTCAAGGTAGAGCGTAAAACAATTTGGGAGAAAAGAAACAGCGGAAGTGAAAGCCGGAAGTTGAAAAGCCGAAAGTGCGTCGCTTCAGAAGCATTTGTTAGCTGCGCACAGGGCCACTTTTGCTTCTGATCGGAGGATGTCGGGAAACGGGGAATTTTCGGCAAGGCGCGTAGCCACAAAGTCGCAGCCACACGCCCGGCAGCCAAGGATGCTAAACTCCGCGGTAGCATCAGTCACTTGCAAAATCGGCTTCGTCCCCTTTCGCCTAAAAAATTCTGAGCACAGACCACATCAGCCATTTTTGGCGCTGACACCGCTGTGTTTGTCATCCCATGTACTCTACAGTGCCAGGTCCCTACATCGATTTTGGAAGGGAATACTTTCTGACTACAGTCGCTAGCGAAACTGGCTTCTCCTTCTTGCGCAGCTGCTGGAACTTTTGCCTCGCTCTTGAGCCCAAGCTACTGTATCTCCTGTTTGTGCAAGATCACGGAGAAAACAGGGATGGCAACATGTCGCTTCCACCACAGCCTGGAATTTCTATTGGTGGGCAAATCAAGCCAGAAAGTCAGGCATCAACTTCACCTTGCCCGTCATCCTCGTTGCGAATTTGGCCATCCTTCCCGCTAAATGTGCTCGTGGAAGCCATGTCTCCGATATCATTTATCAAGAGGCAATGGAAAAACGTCCGCGGAGGTCGTGTCACGAAGGGCTCTAGAGAGCCGAGGAGGGGACAGGATGGCACCCCCCCGCCTTCAGGTCTGTCGAGGCTTCTTTGGACGCCGGAGAAGTTCCATTCTTCTCAAAGCTCACAAACTCCAGCAGAACCAGAGCTCCCTACTCAGGGAACTGAAACGTCGACCGCGATTCCTCCTACGGATTCACCCAATCCAGCACCGCCTGCCAGCCAGCCAGCCGTCCCCGAAAGATCATCGCACACCTCAAACCTGCCAAAAGGACATCAAAACCTTGAACATACCGAGGTCGAGCGGGACAGGGTTAAGCAGTCCTCCAGCTCGGAGGTTACAGCCCCAGAAGGATCTAGGTCAGCAGCATTTGCTGTCGATCATGTGCAAGCAACAGCGGCTGACACTCTTGAGCCGAGGGTGAATGATGACTATACCATCGGCTGGATCTGTGCTATAAGTACGGAGTATGTTGCCGCGCAAGCTTTTCTCGACGAAACGCACGGCCAACCGGAACATGTGCATCGCCATGATAACAACCATTATACACTCGGCAAGATTGGGAAACACAATGTCATTATTGCCGTCTTGCCCGACGGCGAGTACGGTACAGCGTCTGCAGAAGGGGTGGCAAGGGACATGCTACACAGCTTTCCTAATATTAGAATTGGTTTAATGGTCGGTATCGGAGGCGGTGTACCAACTCTGCATGATATCCGTCTGGGTGACATCGTGGTCAGCGCTCCTCGCGATGGGAATGGCGGCGTGTTCCAGTACGACTTTGGCAAGACGATACAGGGCCAAACCTTCGAACATACGAAGTTCTTGGATCAACCTCCTACCATCCTACGGAGTGCGGTGAACGGACTCAAGGCGAGGTATGAGCTCGCCGGGAATGACGGGCATCAGCTTGAAGCGGCTATTAAAAGCGTTCTCGCGAAGAAATCATGGCTGAAGAAGAACTATAAGCGGCCAGCCCCGAGTAGCGATAGGTTATATCTCTCGAAAATCATCCACCTCCGGAACGACAAAAGAGCCTGTGCGATGATCTGTGGAGATGGTCCATCAAAGGTGATGGAGCGATCCGTACGGGGCCAAGATGTCCCGAAAATCCACTACGGCCTGATTGCATCTGCAAACCAGTTGATGAAGGATGCTCTGGTTCGAGATCAACTTGCAGCTGAAAAGGACGTTCTGTGTTTCGAAATGGAAGCGGCAGGGCTAATGAACCACTTTCCGTGCCTAGTTATTCGGGGTATATGTGACTACTCAGACTCGCACAAGAATAAGGAGTGGCAAGGCTACGCAGCAATGGCGGCGGCGGCATATGCGAAGGACCTTCTCGGGGAGATTCTTCCTAATAAGGTCGAAGCTGAGAAGAGGATTCTTTCGAGTAGTTAGTTATTCTCTAGCCTCTAGCGAGTGGTTAGAGTTCTTCTAATATTATATTAGTTTTTCACAGTACATCTAGAATTGAGGCAGATGTTGAAACGATAAGGCACAAGTTGGATAAGGATAAAGATATTGAGATCCTTAACTGGCTGACGCCAGTTGACTATGGCCCTCAGCAGAGCGACTACCTTAGGAAGCGATAACCCGGAACTGGCCAATGGCTTCTGGACTCGGATGAGTACCAAGCTTGGCTAAAGACAAGCAAGCAGACGTTGTTCTGCCCAGGCATTCCTGGGGCAGGGAAGACAATTCTCACATCGATCGTGGTGGACGACCTCATTACAAGATTTCAGAACAACCCAACCATAAACATTGCATATATCTACTATAACTTCCGGCAAAAAGATAATCAAAAGATCGACGACTTGCTAGCGAGTCTACTAAAACAACTAGCTCAGAGCCAGTCTTCTTTGCCAAGGAGTATAAAAGACCTCTATGATCGACACATAAAGAAACAGACACGGCCGTCATTGGGCGAAGTCTCAAGAGCTCTTTATTCTGTGGCTGTAATGTATTCGAGAGTCTTTATTATTATTGACGCACTTGATGAATGTCAAGTATCCGAGGGCTCCCGAACGAGATTTCTATCAGATATCTTTAATCTCCAGGCAAAGTACGGAGCAAATATCTTTGCGACTTCAAGGTCCATTCCTGAGATTATTGATAAGTTCAAAGGGAGCACATTATTAGAGATTCGTGCAAGAAGTGAAGATGTGCAGAGATATTTGGAAGGTCATATGGAGCAACTCCAAGGTTTTGTCCAGGATAACCAGGAGTTGCAAAGAGAGATTAAGAATGAAATATCATACGCCGTCGGTGGGATGTATGTCCTCAGTTGATATTCAAGAGAAGCATCCCCACTGACTTTCCCGCAGGTTTCTCTTGGCACAGATCTATCTCGCTTCACTTACTGATAAGTATACACTAAAGGCAATCAGAAATACACTGAAACTGTTCAAGAAGCAAGGCCAAGGGTCAAGTGAAAATAAGCAACTCGAAGCACTAGCTCAAGCATACGAGGAGGCAATGAAGAGAATCAATGAGCAGAAACCAGGATCTCAACAGCTTGCACAGAATGTTCTGTCATGGATCACTTGCGCAAAAAGACCGCTGAGTACGTCGGAATTACAGCATGCGCTGGCAGTGGAAGTTGGCAACTGCGGACTTGACGAAGAGAACTTCACACGAGTTGAAGATATGGTCTCTGTATGTGCCGGATTGGTTACAGTCGACGAAGAAAGCGGCATCATCCGGTTGGTCCACTATACAACTCAAGAATACTTCGAACGAACACAGAAGGATTTGTTCCCAGATGCTGAAACTAATATTACAAGGATTTGCGTTACTTACCTCTCATTTAGTATCTTCGAGAGTGGGTTTTGTCGAACAAACGACGAGTTTGAAGAGCGGCTGCAGCGGAATCCACTTTATGACTATGCGGCGCGAAATTGGGGACATCATGCTCACGCAGCTTCAGCAGAGGTCGACCAGTTGGTCGTAAATCTTCTTAAGAGTGAAGCAAAGGTCTCTGGCTGCAGCCAGGCGATGATAGCTTGGGGAATCTATTTTGGCAATAGTCAAACGGTGCCGAAGCAAGTGACAGGGGTACACCTTGCAGCATACTTCGGACTAGAAGAAGTGATAGTAGTCTTACTCGAAGGTGGATATGACCTAGACTCCAAAGACAGCTATTATCGGACGCCGCTGTCATTGGCTGCAGAGAATGGGCACGAGGCAGTGGTGAAGCTGCTGCTGGAGGAAGGCGCTGAGCTGGAGACCAAGGATAGAAGGTATGGTCGGACGCCGCTGTCATGGGCTGCAGAGGATGGGCACGAGGCAGTGGTGAAGCTGCTGCTGGAGGAAGGCGCTGAGCTGGAGACCAAATCTTGGTATAGTAGTTGGACGCCGTCATGGGTACCAAGGCGCAAGGTGGTGGTGAAGCTGCTGCTGGAGAAAGGCGCTGAGCTGGAGACCAGAGACAAGAATAATGATCGGACGCCGCTATCATGGGCTGCAGAGAATGGGCACGAGGCAGTGGTGAAGCTGCTGCTAGAGGAAGGCGCTGAGCTGGAGACCAAATCTTGGTATTGTGGTTGGACGCCGCTATCGTGGGCTACAGGGAATGGGCACGAGTCGGTGGTGAGGCTACTGCTAGAGAAAGGCGCTAAGCTGGAGACCAAGGATAGGATGTATGGTCGGACGCCGCTGTCATGGGCTGCAGAGGATGGGCACGAGGCAGTGGTGAAGCTGCTGCTGGAGAAAGGCGCGGAGCTGGAGACTAAAGATGAGAAGTACGGTGGGACGCCGCTGTCATGGGCTGCAGAGAATGGTCACGAGGCAGTGGTGAAGCTGCTGCTGGAGGAAGGCGCTGAGCTGGACACCAAGGATAGGAGGTATAGTCAGACGCCGCTATCGTGGGCTGCGGAGAATGGGCACGAGTCGGTAGTGAGGCTGCTGCTGGAGAAAGGCGCTAAGCTGGACACTAAGGATAGGAGGTATGGTCGGACGCCGCTATCGTGGGCTGCAGAGAATGGTCACGAGGCGGTGGTGAAGCTGCTGCTGGAGAAAGGTGCTGAGATGCCCCAATAATTCATAATTACGAAATCTTGCTCCTGTGGCTTTCTTTGCCGGAGCTTTCGATATAGAAGCCTTTGCTGTAGAATGTTCTAACGTCTGTCCCTGCGTCCCGAGACGCACCGTATCACGAGACAAATTTATAGTTTTGGAATCACAAATTTTTTCTTAGTAAGTTTACGAAGTTGTTATTAATATGTCACTTTCTTTAACCATTTCTCCTTAAGGAGACCACTTAGCAATAAGAAAAAGACTGTGGTTGATCATGCTGTCGATCGTTGCAATCACGCCACTGATCGCCACTTCGGCTGTTCCCCCCTGCTTAATCGCGACCATTTGAGTCTCTTCAAAATTCGGAGCACTTTGGGGAAGGTTCCATGAAGAAAGAATATGGCTCCAAGTTTCGAAGACATTTAGAGAGGAAAATAATGCAGTCCGGGAGTTACGCCGTCCGAGGAGAGGGCATAAACGCCACATGTTTTAGCTTCAGGATTTAGTGCTTACTAATGTGCATTAGCCTAGTTACAATATACCGTATTCAAGCCCGGGCTCGCTATATTTTACTCGGCCACTATTCTCAAGCCTGGTCATGTGTGTGGCGTAAAATGCCAATGTCACGCGTGTGGCGTAAGAGCAGGTTTCTCGAACTTGCCATAGGTGCGCGGCAGCACGCGGGTGCCTGGGCACTGGAGCGCTGTCTCTCGTCTCCTTCTACATCCCCATCGCGACGATAGGATAATATGGACAGAGCCAGTCAAGTACTGGCACAAGGCGTGCCTAAATCATACCTGCCCTTGCACCCCATCATCGTGCACGCGGACGACGCTCAAAGGAAGCAAAAAATCAGGACCAACAGTATCTTACTCCGTCTGAAGAGAAAGCCCTCATTAAGTTCCTGCTGTAGATGCCTGACCTCGGCTAGCCTGTGCGAATAAAGTAACGTTATAATTATTCTGACTGCCCGTATTCCGCCAGAAATTGGGCGTTTTAGCAGAGAACGCAGGATTCTATATAATCTTTGCTCAGTAATGCAGAGCGCGAAGCCCCGGCCGCAACATCTCGTTGCTTGTTATAATAAATTGAAGCTGGATGCGGGCTGATAGTGATCAGCTAACTTATAAGTCGAACAAAAATCCATACGAATCAATCCGCATCACTGCTTCTCCTCGATCATTCGCCACAGCCTATCCTCATTCTTCTCATATCGTTCCCGCTGTCCTCTAAGTTCTTCCTCCGATCTCCCCTTCTGCTGCTCCATCTCCTGTAGCAACCGTTTGTTTTTGCTCTGCTCCTCCAACAGCGACTCAATGAGCTCCTCTCTACTAAGTTCCTCAAAATCGTCATCCATGCGCTTCCGTTTCTTCGCCGTCTTGGGCAACTTCTCAGCGCCGCTTTTCGGGAATGCCGAGTTTGAAAGGTTGTTTTCCTCCCCTTTCTGCTCGTGCACATTGTGGATATGTTTGAGCAAGTTGTCGCGACGAGAGAACCCGATCTGTCCGCGTTTACAGCCGGGGATTGTGCAAAAGACTTCTGTCTCTTTTTCGTGCTTGGTATCTCGATGCCGTCTGAGGTCCTTCTTGGCGCCAAAGGCTTCGTCGCATTCATCGCAGCTGAATGGGCGATTGTGGCGATCGACATGTTTTCTGCATAAAGTTAGCATATGGTATTTTGACGGGGGTGTTTTGCATACTTCAACTGGCTCTCATATTTGAAAGTCAACTCCCCGCAACCCGCATAGTCACAGTGAAACCTTTCCTTCTGAGGTTCTTTTAAGTTTTTGACGACAGCCAGTGGAGAAATATTCATCTGGTGAACTGTGTTCACGGCGACACTGTCTCTGTAGGCTGGGGAACAGAGAGCATCACCACCGGTTGTCGAGGGTGACATATCATTTGGAGACTGGATAGACAAAGGTTGGCTATATACTCTCTGCTGTGTTACTCCTGTCACAACCCCCGGTGATGTGAAATTCATCAGTTCCTGTGAGTGGTTCTCGTGAGCAAGCATGGCGGTGTTGCCATCTGCTAACTGCCAGGGCGACTCAAAGGTTGCGGTCTGAGCCAAATATGAGTGTTCCATTTCTGGGAAGGTTCGAAGAGCAAACATATGGTCCTCAAAAGCAAAAGAATCTTCTAACGGAAGAGGACATGTCTGGTTGTCGAGTGAATCGTGGCCACTGGCATCGAAATCTCGAAGGGTCTCGAAGCGCTCTGAGTTGTCTGTTCTATGTTAGTACTCATTCTCTCCAAGCTCTTGAATACTTACTATCTACTCTCTCAACAAGTAACGGATCATTTTGTAGGGAGAGAACGGCATCTGGAAGTAGATCAGTATCATTTGAATAAGGAGAGACGAAAACGGACTCACTCTCTAATTCGTCCGCATCAATATCCTCGAAAGTAAAATAGAAATCATGGTTGATGAACATCCAGCACACACCCCACAAAACAAAGAGAGCGGGAACGATAATCCACGGCATCGTCGTAGACGGAGGCCGTAGATTATTCGGAAACTCAAAAATGCACACCATGATGACCAGAGTCAAAAGTTTCAAAAGTGCTTCCAGAATCCACATTAAGCTCAAGATCCTTTGGGCTTCTGCCAGGATACGGTTGAGTTCCTCGCAGAGGCTGTCGATTTTGTCGTCACCATATCCAAGACGGAGAAGCTGTCTTCGAAATTCGTAATGTGCTTCTTCAAGAAGTGCTTGATATTTCTTCGGTGAGAGAAGAAGCTGCTCTGAAAGGCAGCTCCCGGGTGATAAGTCGCTGAGTAGTCTTCTCGCTTCTAGTACAAGTTCGTGATACTCCTTATTTTCAGAGAAAGTTGATAACTCGTCAAGATAGCTGTCAGGATAGCAGAGCAGCCGCAGACTTCTGTCCCGATCTGCGAGTAGAGCGCACAGGAGACAGTACCATAAGCAGCCGTATATGGGAAGGAACCCGCAGAAGAATACGCACTCCACGGAACCCGTGATATCTACCCAGACAGAAGCAATCAAATAAATCGAAATTGCGATGAAAGTGGCAGGTCGGAAGACCGGCAAGGCTAAAAGCAACCTCAGTAGAAGTCGTCCTAGAAGCGAAAGCCTACTGCGTAAGGTTTGCAGCATTGTACAATGCAGTCTTTTGTCGTCCCAGAGATTGAAAGATCCCCCAAAAAAGGGATCATAATGACGATAACCATCCTCTCCCAACAAGTCGTCCCAAATTACTTCAAAGATCGAAGGTTGGCGATAAACTCTGCATAGTGGATTATAATTAAACGTTGTGTCACAAAATTTTGAGGGGCTGAACCCGAAAACTCTCAACCAAGACAGCCACCGTGGGCCGAACAGCAGCAGAGGAATGCAGCGAACAATCATTTCGGCAGTGGATGGTGTTCGACCATGCCTGAGACTGACATTACTGCGAGACAGCAGAAGAATGCAGCGAACAATCATTTCGGCGGTGGATGGTGTTCGACCATGCCTGAGACTGACATTACTGCGAGGCAGCAGAAGAATGCAGCGAACATTCATTTCGGCGGTGGATGGTGTTCGACCATGCCTGAGACTGATATTACTGCGGGATTAGCTTTGTGCGAAAGGTGGGTCGTCGCTGCTGATATATGCAGAGCTGTGGGAGCGGGAGTTTTGGCCTCAATCTTTCTGCGTTGTCTTTTCTTGGAGTGCTGTAGGCAGATGTGAGGCCGACAGTGAGGCCACGAACGCGGCCAAGAACGAGGCAGACTGGCAGTGTTCGCCTCGGCTGAAACACCAAATTCGTAGGGGTGGCAATATAGGTACTCCGAATTCCCGCCGAGCACACCGCACTCCTAGTAGTGGCAGAGCTGAGGATTCTAGGGGATTTACGCTCTCTGATTAGTCAGAAACCCTGATCCTGACCGTTGTAGAACCCCCAGCAAAAGTGATGGCAAAAAGTTGGATTTAATGTAAAATGTACCAAGGTTAGGAATGCGGGGTGAACACGAAGGCCGAGGTGCTTATTATTCTAAGTAACTAGATCTTCAGTTTCAAGCACTTTATGGAAGGGTACACTGGACTATTCCGAGCCCCTCCCTGCCGCCGCAACCGCTATGCGATACCCTTATTTATTAAATGCCCCTCTCAAAGTTACTATCTAAGATTAGCTTAAAATAGCAAAAGTCGGCCACATTTTGCTCCGCTTGAGGACAAGTGCAACTCGGAGTATATCGGGAAGACGGGAATTTTTCGGCAGGGCCTTCGTAGCCACACACAGCCACACGCTTTATTATGTAAGATAAAATACATTTTACGGAGATTACCGTAACCATTATATGCAGCTGACCAGGGATCCTTGATCGCGTGATTGGAGGTACCGATCTGTGTAGCAACGTCGCATAACACAGTACTCTCTAGTTATTACAAGGCTGACAATGATTTTTCAGCATCGTGGTGAGGCTTAGAAACCCAGATCAAACTATTCTATTAGTTTAAAAGGTGCAAAGAGCCCGTGGTGGTATCGTAGGTCGAAGGGTCCCATTATACTTCGAATTGACGCCCTCCGCAATTAGGCGCGACGGCGACGACGCTATTATAATTTTCAGAATAGCCGGGGTTTAGACTGTTCAAGAGTGGTCACCTAATATGACTAATATAAAAATATAAGAATTTTCAATAGATTTATAAATTTAGAATTAATTGAATTTAAAATATTAATAGTTTGTCTTGTTACAGGGTGCGTCTCTCGACGCAGGGATGCACGTTAGAAAACTTCTAAAAGGAACATTTTGTTAACAACGACAGAAGATAATGAATAAAGTACTTCACTATATAGTACAGTACTGTAGAGTACATGGGATGACAAAACACGAATGGTGCAATCGTGTGTCGTATTCCGGCATCCACGCCGGCGGCAGCACAAACCCGTCGAGCCCTGTTTTGTTGGAACGTAACTTTGCGAGCTCGGGGAGAAGAATAGTCTGGATGAAGTGGCTGGCATTAGCCTTCGCAATATTCATGCATTTGTTGCATTCGCCGCCGTCGTTATACTTCACACCACCCGGCTTCTGGCATTCCTTGCCGACTTCGCTCAGATCGATGCCGTCGACTCGACTCATTGTCAGGAACATGGACCCATCATCGTTCTGGCCACACCGGATAAACTGGGGAATTGGGATTCTTGTTCGCTTAGCGAGCAGTTCCAGCGCTTTAGCCTCGTTAATAATGCGCTCCGTTTTCCAAGGTCGTGTATTGAACCACACATCCCCGTGGCGTTGGGCGTGGTATTCAGCAGCGGTCCGGGAGCGTTTCTCGAAGGTATAGGGGGTGAGTTTGTAGCCTGAGTGAATAGTCGTGTACGACTCCGTTGCCATAGTTGCGTAATAGTTCACCTAAGCAGCCCTCTTTGGATAATGGGGAAGGACGGTGGAAGCAATGGGCGGGTCTCGAGGTTTTATAGCCAACTTTGAAGCGCAGGGGCGGAAGACTCGTTTCAGTTGACCAATCCCGGTATCGCGGACAACTTACTTACGATAGAATTTTACCGAGGTTACTATTGCCACGACGCAGTGACCAGGATCCTTGCTCGCTTGATTGGAGGAGGTATCAGCCTATGTGGCAATAGCGCATGACATCATGCGCTCTGGCCGCCACAACACTGAGAATAACCTTTTAGTATCATGATATAGCTCAATAATCCATATCTAATCGTTCTATGTGTTTGAGAAGCAAAAAGAGCTTGATGGGGGGTACTACGGGCGAGGGGTCCTATTATAGTATAATAAGACCCCTCATGATTTTATGTGGGCGACGACGACGCGGTTATAAGTTTCGGAATTAATAGGTTAGGGAGTGTTCAGAGAGAGGTATATAATATAACTAAAGTAAAAATAATAGATTTATTATTTTTATTCGCAAATTTACAGGCCCTTAAATCCGAAGTACCTGTGGTTTATCTCGTCACGGGGTGCGTCTCGCGACGCAGGGACAGACGTTAGAACTCTAACTGTTTCTGATTTGACCCCGCTTTTACTCTAAATCACGTAGTAAAGGCATTAACACCAGGTTAGGGCTCGAATTCCCATTAGCAAACAGGCAGATGGGCAATTACAGACCAGTACTTTATCCAAAACAGGTTGGTTGTGGACGAGGTTGGATACTGTTTCTGGATGAGGCTGAATACCGATTGTGGGGGTTGGATCCGTTTGTGGAGGTTGGTACGGGGGTTCTTGCTTAGCAGCCAGAAGAGGATTTTATAGCCACGATCCAGAATTGGGAGGCGTGCCTGGATTGAATTACAAAATGGCTCGAAAGACCGCTGAGATTAAGCCAAAAATGAAATAAGAAAGCTTAAACCAGGGTATTAGAATTGGAGCAAAATCCAAAATCAGAGGCAGATTTGTGATATTAGCGAGGGCCGTGGTGACTACGGAGCCCATTTCGAGTCCCCTCTAGTAGATGGAATAGTGGTCAGCGGCTAATTTTAGCCATACCCAAACTCAACCCAAGCCGACTTCTAATAGGCTGGATGGGAGCCGATAACGAATCCCGGTACGGAGGCCAAAAAGGATCCTGGCTTTTGAGAATAAGACTTGTAGTTTTGTTGTATATTGCACAGATCCAATAATTGAAAAGCGGCCTCCTATCTTTAAACCAATGGCGCTCCATGGCTAATGCGTATTTGGCAGATTACGAAAGTATGGTCTTTGGCGCCCTAGAACATTCTAGAAGCCAAGATATTATAACCTAAGAAACAATTTTAATTATCAAAGCAGCGAATCCTGCGCTTTAACTAGATCCAATATATAATAGGGAGTATATAGACATATGGACATTAATGACAACCTTATATAACAAGGCGTATATAGATATATGGAGACCCAAAGAACCAGAACCAAAGCTTATATATACGATCCAGCCCGACCCTCTAACTTCGTTCATTCTTGAAGGACGGTATGGATTCGGAACCTGCGGACTCGGCTAGAAATAACCGTTCATAGCTTCCTTCGGCCCCGCGCCCTTGAAATCGCATTCGAAATCCTCGCATATGCCAATAGCCATTTCAAGATGGGACATATTAACCTGGCATTCCTCTTAAATAGCCAGAGCGTAAGCCGTTAATACCAGGTTTTTGATCTGAAACGATACCGTTAATCAGTTTGCTTCTCGAATACGTAAAGGACGGACCTACCTCGCGACCATTGTGCTCCTTCCGTATCCAATTATCAAAGGCATCCCGGCTGTAAATTGGTTCTCCCTGAGGCGTAGCTGCCTTTTCCAGAAAGCGTCGCCAGATGTTGGTCCGCTACTCTAGGTTTAACTTACCATACTTTAGTTTGAAGTGGATCCTACTAGCGATTGCATTATCGATCTGCCCTACCCGGTTAGTGGTAAGGAATATCATCCCTTGGTAGTATTCCAGGGTCTGCAGGAATACGTAGACGAGAGTATTTCGATGGATATCTTGAGCTAAGCGCTGCTCGAGAAGTATATCCGCCTCATCTAGCAGGAGGACCGCCTTCTATCGAGCAGTACGCTTGAAGATACGAGGCAGTCGCTATTCGACGGCCTCTGCTATTATACCGAGCTTACTAGCGGAGACTTATATGAGTGGCCTCTGAAGATGTTCGGCGAGCAACTCAGCCGTTAAGGTCTTCCCCATACCTGGTGGCCCGCTAATATAACATGTCAGCAGGAGTACGATGCAAACGGAGACTGGACACCTTACTACAAGAGTACGTTAAACCCTTGCCCTTTTCCTTTTATAATATCATTAAAGGCATTGGTCGATGCCCTCTTGATATAGGCCTCGGAAAGAGCTCGTACGGCCTTCTTCTTCTTTGCAGGAATATAAAGGTCATCTAATGCAGCTTATTGCCAGTCAATCTCTTTGATATCGGCGATAGCCAACTCCACTATATTAATATATTAGCCGAGGGGAAGTTACTGCTATAGTAGAAAAGGATCAAATACTCACCCTATCTACTATTGCCTAAGCTAAACCCAGGAACAGTTAGACTGTAAATGAGTAGGTTGTCTCCCTTTACTTCTAATGGATCCATTCCATTGCCCTTAGCCGGGGACGGCCCCTCTTTATCACTTTCGTCAAGATTAATAAAGGTCCAGCTAGATAGTAGTGGTGGTGGGCCCCTATTAGATTCCTTGATGCTCGGTCTGGTATAGTTCGGGTTCTCTTCTCGAAAATAAGCTGCGTTAACTACGACTCGGCTTTTAATAAAAATTTCGACCACCCGTCCTTTCTCGATATAGAATGCCTTGCCTTCGTACTCGCAGAGGTGGATATCCATTATGGACAGAAATTTCCGACCGTATTCGGAGAGCTTGGCCCTTATATGCTTCTTGCCTAAGTGGTATTAGAGGGGGAATACCTCCAGAGCAGTGATCTGTTTTGCCCTACGGAATTTCTCAATAGTATACTTACTTGAGGTCTTCCCAAATATATTCCCGTTAAAATCCAGATAGCAAGCCTTAATATGGAAATATTCTACCCTATCCTTTGTTTTTTTCTCTTCCCCAAATTCGTACCTAACGTATCTTGGCTGGCCAGTACCGAAACATTTGGTATACGCCAGAGTATTTGGCTTGAAGAGCGTCTATAGAAGGTCATACGTGATTTAATGCTTCTCGAGAAGTGGGCCAAGGCACTCGATTGTCGAAGCGTAAGCTGTCCTAATAAAATCAAGTAGCAAATTCAGATACTCTAGGGTAGACGGATCGAGGGCTGCGCTAGGGCTTTGGCGGCACCCCTCCAGATCGGATAGGTAATAGTAGAGTAGGCTTTGCTCCACCTGGTACTTAGTTAGTAGACGCTCTGGTATTTGAGTGCTTGCGGGGCTCTAGACTTACCAAAGGCTTCTCTTTATGGAGGCAGATCCCCTGGACATCTTAAAGAACCTTCCGGAGAATGTCCCGCAAGCCCGGAGATTTGATATCTATATATTGGATCTGATTCTTGGTCTCTTTATCTAGGCTGCTATTAGGAGCGGAGGTTGGGATAGAGGCCAGGATACCCACTAATGCGTATACGAACTACAAAGATATAGTAATCAAGTTCGTTTACTTTATTAGGTAGTATTAATGATTCCACGACTTTATACTTGTATTCCTTTTTGTCCCAGCTATATGATATTAGCTCTGGCAAGGTTAGATTATAGTCCGGCATATACATATACTTCGTTAATCTTCTTGAATTCCAGTATCAAAGCTCGCGCTTTTGGTTCCTCGGATTTAACTTTGTCTGTAGCGGCGGGCGGAGGAGGCGGCCCCTGCTTGGTACTAAGAGACTTGAGAATGTCAAAGAACTATTAGATATGCTTAGTAGTCATAATCTGTAGTAATGGTTAGTTTGTCGGAAACGTATAACAGGGAGTATAGAGGTCGGTCGAAGCCGCCTCTAAAGGATCCTCAGGAGGCGTATAAGAGCAGGTGCACTTCGGGGCGTATATAGAGGCCATCTATATACCCATAATAGCTTTGACTAACTCTTGGGCATTGCTTAATATAATAAAACCCTTGGATAGTAATAGAATCGGGCTGCTCGGTGGGGCGGTTGGCTGTCCTAAGGCCAAGGGGTTTTGAACCATCTCGGTTAGGACCTCCGTCGCTAAAGATTCCTTATCCTACCTTAAATAGACCGTTAGTAAAGTTTGATTTATGCTCTATTAGAGGCGTACTAACTTAGAATCTCGGGCTATCTCAGGCTAAGTATCTTCAGGCTTGGTATCTTCGGATATCCTTGGCGGCTTCGACTTTGCTTTAATAGGCTTCGAGATGAGTTGCTCCATATTATTAATGGCTCCCTCTGGTAATTTCCTATATTCTAGAAGAAACAAGAAAATTTCCGCTAGGCTAAATTTCAGCTCTGGCACCTTGGTAGTAAACCCTTTTACTAACCGCTTAACTCTCTCGGCCTCTTCTCTCTGACTTACTACGGCTTTATGAACCTTTGCATTATCTCCTGGTCGAGCGTCCTTGGGAAGAGCGATATCCTCCTATACGGGCTTAAAGATAAGACAGAAGAGGTCAGCCGTTATTTTATGGTCAGCGAGCCCAAGCTCGACCTTTTTGTCTATACGGCCAGGTCGTATAAGTGCTTCGTCGAGGCATATAATATAATTAGTAATTATAATCAGGATTCGGCCTTCTTATAATCCTATACTATTAATAACATTTAAAAGAGCAAATAAAGATACCTTTTTACCGGCAGATTTACTTATTCGGGAAAGAGAGCCTATTACGATCTGGCGAGAGTCCTCGGTTTTAGTATCTCGATTCGAACTAATAGTATTAATATCTTCCAAAAGAATAATATAGTGACTTGGAAGCTTATTAAATAGGCTCTTTAGGTTAGCTTCACTAATAGTAGAAAGGCTAAGGATATAGATATTTAAACCAAAATAACTAGTAATAGCCGAGCTCAAACTCGATTTTCCAGTTCCAGGAGGTCCGTATAGTAAGTAACCCCGTCGGTAGGGATTATTATAATTAGAATACTATTATTAGAATACTAGGTCAAGGAATTCCCTAATATCTTCTAGTAACTCTATTTTCCTACTTTTATTAAGAATAATAGTCGAGATATATCTTATTTTAGATACTATAGACCTAATCCACTAGCTATCTTAGTACTTATAGAGACAGGTTTTACCCTAAATAAGCTTTATATACTCGGTATAGTACTTATCGAGTAGTTCCTTAAGAATTTGCGGAGACCTGCCAAAGCAGGAAATAGAGATATCCTCTTAACTACTAAATTCTCTAGCTTGAAAATAATACCGGAATATAAGCTAATAGCTATTATACCGGAGAAAAAAGTATCTATTCCAGGGCATATAATACAGAGTTTTTTTATTCGCATCTCTATTATTTAAATAATTATTTCTTGACCGGTTTAATAATAAGGCCAAGTTAGTAGTAACGAGAGAGGAGGAAGTATTCTGGGCGAAGCTCTAAGAGAATATCCATAATATAAGTATATTATATATATCCTTATAATATTAAAGATAAATAGTTAAAGCTATTTATTATTAGAAAGTGGGTTCTCTTATTTGGATAGAGGGAGTTCTTACTATAATAAGTCTTAAGTAATCCTAATAAATACTTGCAAATATATCCGTAACCAAATATAATTAACCTAAAGAAACATAGTAGAGGAATATAGACATTCAAGTTAATAGTAAGATACCCCTGGATAGCGGCAGATATGCGAGTAAAGCCTGGGAATAAGAAGTCCAGAATCGAGGCTTGAGTATCCGAGAATAATTAAATTAGTAGGGAAATATTCTTAATATATCCTGCTATTTTCTTGTTCTATAAGATAGCGGTAGGATGTTTTCAGACGGATAATAGATTGCTTTATATATGTAACAGACAAGATATATACTAAGTAAGAAGGTTTGGAAAAGTTATTAAAGAGCTGGATACTGAGAATATAGAGGGCAATAATATAAAAACTTTAGAGGAGTTATACTATTATATATCCGTCTGTACCAATATCCAGACTCCTGATAAAGGAAGCCGATTACCCTCAGATGCACTTGCAGCCCATAGATGTAGTATGGTGTATTGGCGCCTTAATAATTAAGATGGCTTCGCTAATTCTCCATATAGTAATATGGGGGAAGCAAGACATTATTAGAGGAAGAGTTCATAGCGTATTAATTCTGCAGTTTCCAAAAATGGAACGTCTCCGTAAGGTACCCTCTCTATTAATTTGTGCTTTTAATTAGTTAAGGCAATACTGTAAAGCATTGAAGCTCGTATGCAGATCCTCATTCCCGAGGCGGCTGGCGGCCCACGATTGAGGTATGATGTACGCCCCTGGATAATCATAATAGCTTTATTAGTTCCATTATGCGAATAATGCGGGGAGAAACGATATATTAAAGTGGAGTATTAATGAAGTTTTACTAATGTCTTTTATAGCTTCCAAGCAGGACCCTGGGTCCCACTAATTTGACCTCTCTCCGTATGGTACCCTTATGCGAATAATGCAGAGAGAAGCATATATCTGCAGGACGATGTGGGAAAAATGTTAGTGGGATATTGATTCACCATATAGCAGTGTGGGAGGAGCAGCCTATACGGGCCGTGGCTATAGCTAGAGAAAGAGTTTGCAGTATTATTGATTTGTCTATTATCCAATATAGAACGTCTCTGTATAGTACCTTTTTAATTCCCGCTCGTGGAGTAATTGAAGCATGGCATTCAGACAAAGCGTGAAGTGACGCGTTGAATGGAGATGTGCTATAGCACTCTCTCACTCTATGAATTGTTTCGCTTAGTCTAGCATGTTGATATGAAGTTACGCTGAGCTACAGACACTGAGGCTGAGCTATAGAAATGGACTGGGGCATTGGGCCAATCGGTAAATGCGGTTTCTGTGCTTGTCGATAGAGGGATCACAAGCTGTGGTGTTGTAAGATGTGGAGATATCACAAGTTGTGGTCCCTGTTAATGGAGGGATTACAAGTTGTGGTAGCTGCGAAGATGTGGAGATATTACAAGTTGTGGTCCCTGTTAATGGAGGGATTACAGGTTGTGGTAGCCAAAGACAGGGTTGCCGCCTTTCCCACGTGGCCTCTATACTTTCCTGGTCCTTTCGTATCGCGTCTTCCCCTTTCACGCTCTCAGATGGCGTGGCCTTCCCTCGTCTCGCCAGGCTTTATAATATACCCCATTATGGATGCTACCGAAGAAGCAAAATAGAACCAATAACCTCCTGAATAAAGATTAGTTGGCAACTGGCGGTATATCCCCCGTTAGCCGACACAGCTGCCTGGAACAAACCAGTGTTTAGCCTAGCCCGTAAGGCTAAACCCTTAAAGGATTAGTTATTGTGAGGTAATAATCGAAACGATTACGCCTTAATTCTTTACGAGTAATAGTATTTCAAAAACCTTTCCGTACCTAACTTTATCTGTTTTTATATAATTATTAGAAATCTTTGGTAAGTGTACTTGATTATTTTAGCTATTATTTCCTAATAGGAGTAGAATATGGAAGTTTGTAAATAAAACGAGGTATTTGTCGAAAAGTACGGAGATCTTGTATTTTCCCATACTAAGATTATACTTAGAGAGGGCGACTAATATTACTATATGATTACTAGTCGTTATTACTCCGCTACTTCCGAAGTTAATCTACTTGAACTTGACCTTGTCCCGATTCTAGCTTCGCAAATCTGGCCGCTATTCCTAATATACTTTATATGAGTGCCTAAGCTATTACCTTAGGACTATTATATAAAGCGACCTAGTCTACTATATTACGGTAATACCGAGGCCTTAACTAAACTGAGTAGTCTCTTATTAAATGAGGCTAAAGTCTGTAAGATCCTAAGGGCATCTCCGTATCCTAATATTACTTAATATCTTGGATATATAGTCAAGAATAATAGAATAACGGGCCTTTGTTTTATTAAGTATGGCATGAATTTATTAGAAAGAGTAACTAAGGACTCTCGCCCTTTTAATATAGACCTCTTTTTACGGGGTATTTGGAAGGGTATTCGGCATCTTTATAGTTTAAATCTCATTTATTATGATCTTAACCCGACTAATATCCTAATAGATAGGAATACTCCGGTTATTAGGGACTTCGATTCTTATTAATATAAGGGAGAAAAATTAGGTTTCAAGGCTAGGACCAGAGGCTGGACGAGTGAGGATTTTAAGTTTGCAAGGCCCGAGAATAATGAATATAGATTATTAAAGATTCGAGATTTTCTATTTTAATATCGCAAGATATAAATTATTAAACGAGATTTTCTATTTCAAGTAAAGAATACCGAAAAACTATTGAGATTTCCTATCTAAGCTATTAGAGGAGCATAGCTAAACCAACTTTAGTAACTAAATATCCTAACTGTGTCCGACCTCATACCTTCTGCCTCTATATTTGCTATTCAAGTCTATAGTTCGGGATAAACCTAATACTTATTAGCATTTTTCTGTAACGTAAATCGCCGTACTCACCCATTCTACTATTGAGCTGGGGGAGGTACGTAGCTGGACGAATATTTGCAAGTTGTGGATCTATAGTTATATTCCTTATATGTGTATCTGGATCCATTAGTACGGGTGCCTGTCTTGAAATCACAAGCATTTACTAGTTCCTTAATTTTAACGGAAGCCATCCTAATGATAGGGTCAGTAGCGTATAATAGTACGAATGTATTGAGTGTATATACTTTCCGAAGGATTTGTAATTTTGTGTTTTGAAGTGCGCCGGAAAAATTTGTATTTTTGTGTGATTTGAAGTCACAATGGAGTTCTTTGATCTCAGCAGACTACTCTAGATTTATACTTATAAAGGGTTGCCAATTACTGTACTGATTCTGGAGCTTCGGTCTACTGGACCGTTTCGGGATGTGACTGCAGATATTGAGTGGCTTGCGAGGATGTAGGCAGACACCATGCATTGCCCCATGTATGCGCCCTGCTGATGTTAAGATATGGAGAATATTACAAGTTGTGGTCCCTGTTAAGGGAAATCAGGAGTTGTGGTAGCGTAAATATTACAAGTTGTGATCCCTGCTATCCGTAAACGAGGCCGAAGCCACAAGGACAACTCAATAAGCGGACTAATGGATGGGACAATCTTGACAGGCGCAGTAGCATCCAGACTATCAAATTTAGGCAGCGAAAGAGGATCCGCGGACAAATAAGAATGTATAGATATTAGATAATAAAAAAAAAGGCCAGTAACGTGGCGTAAAGGAACAAGTAACCCTGCTACGGCCCTTGGGATCCAAATGTTCCAATCTGACTAAGCAAATGGCCCACGGCTGTTGACGGCCTGCCTTAGCTTGGTATAATTACTGCCTGACACCCTGCGAGAGATTATAGTTAAGTCCTTATATCCTTTGAGGGCCTCTGCATTTTGATATATAAATAGACTACTACCGCCTATGGCATCTGTAATATACTCCGTAGAGGCCGCGAAAGAGACTTTTTTTAAACATGGCTTCCTGGACCGGAAAAATCCGACGGTTAGGGATAGTATCCAGGAAATAGAGAAGAAGGGCTTTGAGTTTTTCTCGGAATATAGCCTGGACTTTTGCTAGTAATATATCCTTAGTATAGTAAGTATAATGAAATATTTATAGTATCTATCTAATGCCTTTTAGTATATTCTATCTATTGTGGAATCCTTCTTTAGTAACGAGACCTGTATTCTCGCATACTACCTGAGATATATAGTATATCCGGGCCATATTATATGCTTTAGGAGGGGTAGTCTAAAGGCTGGACGACAGGCTTTAGTAGTTTATCTATTAGCCAAAGGATCGCGAGTTAGCTATTATAGCGGCTCACATAACCATTTCTTGCCTACTATAAAGGAATTAAGGTTCTTGAACGAAATTTCTTAATCTGTACTAGATAAAGTAGGCTACTAATATAAGGAAAAAGCATTTCCTAATAGTAGCTTATAAGTTATTACTCTATAGTATAGTCATATATATTAATATATCTCGCAGAATAATTTTCGATACTCGAATTAGTTTCAAACTCAAGGAAGGATATGTAATTATATTTGAATTTATAATAATTAATATAGTTAAGAACTGGCCAAAGATAGTTCTTTCGAGCTTACTAGAGTTAATATAAAAGGTAGGAGATATGGAGTGTGACTTGGAGAACCGAAAATTTCAAAAAATCCGAATGAACTTTATATTTAGAGATCCTATTATAAGTATAAATGCATAGTTATTACTACTTAAGGTATTCCGCTCCTTATATTCCCAGCCGTATTCTCTATTTATATCTATCTCACCTATAGTTCAGGCTAGTTTATAATACCAAATATGGGAATATTAAAGTTAATATTATCCAGAGCTAAGGTTAGTTCTTTAATAGATCCGGGATAAAACGCCTCTATTAAAATATTCGGAAAGCCGGCTCTGGCTACGGGTTCGGCAATATTCGAAAGAGGCATAAGTGCTATAGTTAACTACGTAAAGGAGACGGCTATATATGTATCTTATCTAATATAAGCTTAGAGAAGACATTTTAAGAGAGTTAATACTATTAGTAGGCTAAAAACCGAGCTCGTTTATAATACTAACTCTATATAACTTGGCGTTTTGAACTCCTGAATTCCTTGAGCCTATATCTTCTACCTTATATACTCTTTTATTACTTCTCTTAATACGGGAGAGACGTTTCCTTTCTATAAGATCTAGTTCGTCGGCGGCCCGCTTGCGTAACTTATTACATATCTGGTTTATATAGGTAGTTTTAATTATCCCCACGTCCTAGTACCGTTCCGCATGTCTTATATAGTCCCTGGCTTGTCTTGAAACATATTAATAGCATATATATACCTTATTATACTGGACGTCTGTATTAAAGTTAAGAATCCCGTTTAAAGGAAGAAGATAAAGGCCTACGTTACTCAAAATGCCTCCGAAGCCTCTATTGGGTTTTGAATAATTCGTTTCTATTGCAATCTTCGAGAGAATAATTATATGTTTTACTACCGTAATTATTCTCTATTCCAGGCCTCTCGGCATTATTGTATATATCTGGGTTATGGTCGTTGCTATCTGGATCGTCGTTATTTGCTTTCGAGTAGGACTGGTATATTTCTAGCTAAGCGGACAAATATCCTTTGAGAGTCTAGAGAAAGTCAGTTCTGTACCTGCAGATAATTAAATACTAACTCGGTATTCGTTAAGGTAAGCACGAAATACATTGCTCGTCGGAAAGAAAGCAGAGCAGGTATATTATAGCCGCATATTATTTGATATGCTGAGGGCAATTGATCATGGTCGGAGACAAGAAAGCGAAGGAAGTGGAGTCCTCCGGGGAAATCCGATCTTCAAATTACCCGTCCAGCCAATCAACATTTGTTAAGATCCATAAAAGATAATTAGCCGAAGATGCCCTCGTGGCAAATGCGGCAGGATCTGAACTTATTTAAACCCTTCGCAACTCCGCTAGGAGTTGGGCTTCCACCTTGATCGACATCTCTCTTTCCACGCAATAGCACTTTTGTCCGTATATCTTGAAAAACATTAATAAAATTATTAGAGTCGCGCATCGTTCCGCCAATATCCTCTCCACTCCATTAAACAAAAATATGGCTCCCTGCGAAACTTGCCACGGCGAGGGCATCCAAGGAGGCGAATGCCCTACGTGCGGCGCGAAGGGCTGAGCATCAAAGGATTGAGCATCAAAGGGGTTAAGCATACTGAGAGGTAAACAAATCTGGGCTTTGAATACTGGCCATCTATCATTTATCGGGAGTGCTTGGTTGACTATTTTCAGGGTGAAGAAAAGGATTAAGCTGGAGATTCCAAGACTATCAAACTGTCGCCTTTTTTTTTTCTCTTTCGCAGTGGCAGAAGCTACTACCTCGGAAAGCCTAGGAAGGTGCCTGTGACAAAGAAGTGGGTCGCGCTGAGCCGATAGAAGCCGACCCTCGCTCGACGGTAGAAGAGAGGGAGGCGGTTCATATACCGGACAAAGATAGACTTCGCAAGTGGTAGGGCTCGATACTATCTGATTTGCTTAGTAATCCGATACTAGACCGAATATACACCTATCCACTTTAGGCTCTAATCTTTCAGATAAGTAAAAATGGACTATATATCTATATAGTATACATGTAACTCGGCTACCTATTCTAGTATCTGATTGCATTGCCTCGATAATACGTTATAAACAAATGGCCTCGCCTAATTAAGATCTCTTATTTGCAACTCGAGAGGTTAATGAGGATATTATTTGCAGGAAGAGTTATCGTTTTGCGGGCTCTGCAAGAGTGGTGGGGCTCGATACTATATGATTTGCTCTATAATCCCGATAACTGACCGAAATACCCTGGTGAATTTAGGCTTTAATACGTTCTCGAACCCTTTAGGCTGAAAATATACTAGGCTTCGGCTGCAAGGTCCCAGAAATTTAACTCTTTGGGATCCTTATATAGCCTTCCGCCAAATTAAAATCCTCCTAGTACTATTAAAAATAATTAGAGGGTATACAGAATTTGTATAACAAATTATGCGCCTATTATAATAGTTGCAAAGTTTTCGAGCTGGGAGAGTATAAAGAAAGCTGCCTCGAGCGTACTATCCTCAAGATTATTAGTCGTATGGGTCAGGTTCTGGTGTGTATTAGTACGCCGCCCTGTCTGCTGGTACTATAATTCCTCTTGATTAACTAACTAGGAGGCAGAGGTTTCAGTCTACTCTTGTATTGAGTCTATATTACGATATCTTTTGATAGTATTCTCCTCTGCTCCTAGTATTCTCGATATCTCTGATTTAATATAGCCATTGCGAGCCGTAATAAATAATCTTCGAGGGATACATATCTGTAGTTGAAACATAGTGCCTCTATAATGAGCAGGAGGGCTCCAGAGACGTTTAAGGGGTCAGCCGGTATATATAAGAATAATATGTATATGAATCAGCCGGAGGGCTTTTAAAGATATTATATAATATAATAGCTAGTTATACTTTACGGGGATGTCTGAGAATAATATTACTAACTCTGCTACCGACGGAGCCCCGAGTATCTGGGGAGATATTAGCCTATATATGGCATATTTTGAGGAGGGGAAGAGCTATTCATTTGGGGCATAAACAAATAAGATTCAATAGCCTTATATTATATAATTTTCATCTCAAATGGCTCTATAACTCTAGAAGTTCTGATTATTCAGAGGTACTAATAGCTTATTATTAATCCCTTCGGCGCCTTTAAACCTTGCCATCCTTTCTATATATTCCTTCCGCTCCCGTTATAATAGCTTCTACTCATCCTTCTTTGAATTTAAAATTCTTAATACTACTATTATTTAACCACTCCCGAATATCCCATAAAGTATCCAAATCATTACTAGGCAGGGCAGTTTTCGTACCCTTATTAGCCTATAGCCACGTACCGCCCATTCCTTCCAAGTCCTGTCTATTAGGGCAGTAGTTATCGAAATCGGTAATAATAGGATTATTATTATTATCTAATATAATATTAGTAGGTTTAATATTATTATAAATCAGACTAAATAAATACAAATATTAAATGCCACTTTCGACTCCAGATAGAAATCCTCTATAATCCTCAAGTAGACGCTTCGAATCCGTATACCTAAAGGCGACCTTCCTATAGCTCCCAGAATTTATCCTTTTCTCTAAGGTTTTATAGTATTTAACAAAGCAAATTCCAATAATCCGACCATTACGAACTTGGCAGCCGATATATTCTGTAATATTTGGATACGGATGGGTTCTAAGGGTTTCCAGAACTATAACTTCTCTGAGAACTCTGTCACCTATCTCTATCGGCTTGAATGGTATATAGGTACTAAGCCGTGGCCTCTTAATAAAGTAGCTTTCGGGCAAGTCTTCAGGAGCTATTGTGAATTTTGGAGGAACCAGTAAATAGTAGGCTTTAGTAGGTATTAAGACAATATCTGAGATATCCTCAAGTTTGAGGTTAAAGTTCCCAAGAATACAAGTTTAATAAATCCTATAATAGAATTTGTCCTTAAGCTTATAAATAACTATTATATACTAGTACTCGTAAACTCTGTCCCTATTAAGGTCATTATATAGCTCCCCCCGATAGACTATTTCCATTTCAATGGATACTAATCCTATAACCGAATTATAGTCCACTAGCCTTTCCTTTATTAGGGCAAAAGGCGGATTCGAATTCGAGAGAATACTCGAGAAAATCTCGAATAAAGAGCTATTTAATAAAATGAAAAGCCAAGAAATTATTTATATTAAGCAATTAGCAATATAAGTAGCTAACTCAGATTAGTAGAATAAGGCTCCAGGCGGATCCCCGAAGTATAGAGCTAATTAGTAATAAGAAAAAATTCTACCGAACTATATAAAGTAGGACCGCCAACTCGCCTAGTATTAGCCTTACTAGTAGACAAAAACAGGTATAGTAAATATATTATAACCTGCTACTTATTATATATTCAATATATAATAAAGTTATAGGAGCCTACTAGCCCGAGTTACCGCAAGCCATATATAGAACAGGCTATATATAAGACCAAGAGATCTATCAAATTTCCCCAAGTTCCCAAATCTTCAAATAAATATTATATTCCTCGGATATATCCCTATTATTAAAAGAGTAATCTCTACTTAAGCAAATAATTACTTACTCAAGTATGCCCTATTCTCTCCCTTAGCTAATAATTAGAAGGTAATTATACTATAGGATATGCGATTGTCCTGACCCTTTTAACCTATCTACTCCTATTAATAATTATATATTCGGCCCAATAATAGAGGGTTACCAGAAGACATCGGATTGCGGCTCTATGACTTGTATCTATTTAGGGTCTTATATTAAACTTATGAAGTAAGGAATATATAAGTATATAATAATAATTATAGGCAAT